AAATATTTATCTAGCATGTCTTCACGATCTACAGTGGATCAATGCTTTAACTTACTAGCCTTCCGGCTTATTTCTGCTGCGAAGAAGTCATCCGTTCAAGTTTTAAGATTGGAACACCCGCTATACAATGCAATCGAGAGTTTGCCCTAATGTTTCAAGGTTCATAACGTTGTGTTGTTGGCTACGGAGTCCGGTCATCACTTGTGCCATGTGGGTCATTAATTCTTCTAGTAATCAATCCATACCTTCTTCGGTTATCGCAAATTTATATAATTTCCGTTCCAACTTCCTCGAAAAGTTGTAGCCAAAAGATACGCGATAACAAACGATCCTTCAAAACATATTTTATGGGTGTTAAAGCATGGATTCAGTTTAATGTTCCACGACGAAGTTCGCCTGACATCGCGGCTCCTAATTAAGCGAGACTTGTCGTTAATTGATTTACGATTTAATTAATGAGGGCAAACGTGGAGTGTGAACCGCCATTTTGGAAAATTATTTTTCCGTGCTTTAGAAGCAAATATATATATTTTAGGTGAAGATAAAATACATCAGATTAGGGTAATTTTTTTAAGGTTCCAGATGTGGGATGGTGTTGCGAAATTTAGTGGATATTTAGTTTAACAACAAAATCTTTTATTCTTTCCAAAAAAATACTACGTACACATTCGTAACATCGTTATGTCCGTCTTATATCTGTCATTTATATTTTCTTCTTTTAACAATAAAACTCGTGTGCCAGTGTGAATTAACCAAACAGTACCGATCTTCCCACTCGTTTATAGTTTTTGTATTTGACGGCTTTCAGATTCAAGTCGCTGTATGAGTATCAAATCTCTGTGGTGTTTCTGTAAATAAATTATTATTTAAGCTTTCAGAATTCACTACGCTACGAAGTTGTTGAGAAAGTTCCATGTAGCAATGAAAACAGGTTAATGCAATACTTGGATTTTTAATGCTTGTGCTGTCACAAGGCTAGATGTTCACGTTATGGTCCAAAAAAGGACTTTAAACTAATCGTATGTCTTTTATTCTTCAAGCCCTTGAAGGGTTGATCGCCATCAATATCTAAAGCTAAATTTAATAATTACATTATTAAATCCAATTAACTAAATAACAAATAAGCAGAGTGACAGCTACGAGACGCGCGCCATATTTTAATAAATGACGTTGACAGAATTCAATATGTGCGTGTCCTGTCAAACGTGAGCAGTTTGTGGTCACCGAGAAGGAGTTGTGAGAAATATCGTTTGTGTTAGCCGAGCTTAATGCTTGAATTATAAGCGCGTTTCGTTGTGAGCTGTCCTTCTTCTTGCTAGTAATTCGATTTTTTTAAAGAAGAAAGTTAAATTATCATAACAAAGATAATTAACTACCGTGCTCTATTTGTTTAATATGAGCTCGTATTACGATACGATTTGGTGTTGCCAGCCTGTTAATTTCTCCCTCAAAACAAGGATAAAAAGTAATTAAATTAGCATAGGTAATTGTAAGATTTTTTATTCTTTTATTAACCGAAAAAAATGTTTTTCTAATTACCCTAGATCAATAAACCTATTCACATCTGACCTGGTTCTAAATGATTGCTTAAGTCCATCGACATCACAACATGAATGCCACCAATACCATCGACCTTGTGATATGATATCGATGTCTCGATTATAGTAAACAGCTGCTTAAGCCCTAGAATCGGTACGTATTACTTGGTGATACATATAGGGAAATAGTGTTGGCATACTATACGCCCAATGTCCGGTAAAAATCTTTTGAATTATCGATTCCTCTGACCCATGCAGTCTATGTTTCCATTGCCTTCATATAACGGCTCTCATATATTATTGAATGTTTTGGGGTAGAATTAATCAGTGGCTGTACTATTTACGTCAATATACCACGTTCGTGGTCTGAACTTCCTTACGCAAATTCGGTTCATTGCGTTGTCTCTGGCCCGCGTTTTTTAACTATCTCCATATTACCCTACTCTGACCGCATTAAAATCATTCACATTAATGTAACGTGAGATTTATAGGTAAAATAAATACGATTTACAACCAACTAAACGCTTTGGAGGCAATGCGAAATATCGCGTTACGTCACGAAAGGAAGAACCCGTCAAACGGCATTTGTCAGTCTGTGATACCGGGATCCTTCGTAGGGCTACCGTGCTTAAATTTTAAAAAAAGCAACTTGTACAACTCTTTTTTTTCTGTATTTCTGAAACTCATTCGTGTTAGCTATTTGTTGATTTTGCGGCACTATTCACGTTGCATGTGATAATGCTTCTATAGTGATAGTTACATTGGTTGCATTTAATTGATATGAATGAAACTGGTTTCGGGAAACTAAAACGAACAATATTCGGATTTCGAAATATGAACTTACTAAAACTGTGATAGCGCATTCATTCTTAGCGCTTAATCGGTAAAGAAAATTTTACGTTTTTTATTAAATAGATCCAATTATTAAGTAAAATAAATTATATGCTAGCTCTTGTATATAATACATAAGGGAATGGTAAATGGTTTGAAGATTTTTTTAAATTAAAATACTCTTACCTCTTGCATTTGGAATACGCGTTATACATTACTCACCAAAAACACAGAACTTAATTAATTTGTACGTTGATGTTTTCTTTTTTTTTTCTTTTTCATACCCCTACTAATTAGCCAGATATGTTTTTATAAGTGCAGACTTTAATAAAACGCAATTATGTAGCCTGGGAGTTAATTACTAATGTCCATAGACGCACGACGCGAATTCTGCTCTTAAGCCACTGCTTACCGCTTAATACTCTCCACAAGCTTCGTTTGAAGAAGGGCATGTCAAAGCACTCGCGAAACACCGTGGAGGGGAGCTCATTCCAAAGCCGGATGGTACGTGGCAAAAAGGATTTCTGAAAACGAACTGTGGATGACCGCAGTGGCACCAAGTAGTTTGGATGAACTCAAGACACATGCGTACACAAAAAGTTGACTAGCAAACTAATCATGAGATTTTATGCTTGAAGTTCCAGTACGTAAAAGTGTAAGTTAGTAGTACACAAACGAACCTAAATTCGACTTAGCTAAGGTTTACCGAATGCAGCCGATGTACCATCGAGCTTACAACTTAATCTGACTTAATCCAACCGTTCACTTTACGGTCCCCTATATGTCGGAAAGATCTGCATACGTTGTCCGTACACACGGACGGCAAAGGTATTAGCGCTGCACAATTTAGCGCTTCTTTGAATAAATACTTTTGATTTGTATCTCAGCCTTGCGATGTTTCATAAGATCTATCTATCTATATATATAAAAATGAATTGCTGTTCGTTAGTCTCGCTAAACTCGAGAACGGCTGGACCGATTTGGCTAATTTTGGTCTTGAATTATTTGTGGAAGTCCAGAGATGTTTTAAAAGGTACATAAATAAATGAAATTGCTCAGAATGGAAATAAAAATAGCAATTTTGTTTTTCGTTTGATGTGTCCCCCGTCGGACGGATTCCTTTTGTTTGTTTTAAGTTTATTTTATACAAAAGCTTAGTTCTTTTATTTATCGATTGAGGCACTACGAAGTCTGCCAGGTCAGCTAGTCTTAAATATACTTATATAATATGGTTTATATATTATACTTATATAATTATAAATTTATATATTATACTTAAATATACTTATATAATATGGCTCTTAATCTGCGTAATATGAAGGTGTATGACCTCAGTCACTTAGAACTGCCTCTGTTGTTTGCTAATCATCTGTTTATAGTATCAGCAGAAATAATAATCTATTATTCACCTTTTTTCCATAATTTTCTCACTTTATTCCTATTAGTGGTGGAACATGCTGTGTATCTGACTGAACTTGTGATCTGAGTTCACTTTGCCTTGTCTATGAGATACGGTACGTAATACTAGTAACGTATTTATATTTATATTAATAACGTATTTAGTTATTTAGTCTGTCTATTTTTGCCCGTAAGTAAAGGAGACGACCCTATATAAATAGTTTGGCTAATTCAATCAAAAGACCTAAATCTTTAATAAAATCAATAAAAAATCTATAGATGCGTGAAAATTTCGTAGATCATGGCAACCCTGATTCCCGGAATTTTCCTAGGTCTCGAGACGACATTGCTAAATCGCTGTCATATTTCATCCGAGAATAGGTAACTAGTTTGTAAGCGCCCTTAAGAGTAGCTGTGGTGCTGAATAAATTTCTAAGTATAATGTCTTTTGTTGTTAATAAGTTTAATTTTTAATCGATCATATTGATTGTCATTTGCAAAATAGATTACCTAATATATATATATATATATTTCATCTCATACATAGCACGTACATATACTCAAAAAGTCGTCACAGTTTTGTGTAAACTTTAAGGCGATTAGCAAATCAGGGTTTACGACTTAATTGTCGCACATTGATCCGAAGTGGATCTTCGCTTAGCTAATAGATAATAATATATAATACAGAGTCCTATTTCTATCTCGCTCTGTCAGTTACTATTATGGTTAACAGAACGTACGTATTTTGGTATTATTGACTTATGATAATCAAGTAGTAGCAGCGGCTTGAGGATCTAAAATGTTTAAATTCTTTCTTGGCGGCTTTTAATAGCTATCAAATAAATAAATAAAACTCGTACCTGGTGCTAAATATCACAATCCATGGTCCTTGGAGCACGGCTAAGGCTCTTAGGGTTCATCATAAAGTTATAGATGAAGAAGACATTATTACTGGTGGTAGGACCTCTTGTGAGTCCGCGCGGGTAGGTACCACCACCCTGCCTATTTCTGCCGTGAAGCATTAATGCGTTTCGGTTTGAAGGGCAGAGCAGCCGTTGTAACTATACATGAGATCTTAGAACTTATATCTCAAGGTGGGTGGCGCATTTACGTCGTAGATATCTATGGGCTCCAGTATCCACCTAAGCCAAGTGGTCTGTAAGCTCGTCTATCCATTTAGATTGTTTAGGCAATAAACAATCAATCTTTGGAAGCAATGTTTTGTTTTTTCAGTCTGACTGCCTCATCTTTTGGCTCCTGTCGACTGTTACGGCCGGTCTGCTGGCCGTGTGCATCGTGGGAACTCAGTATTTTGTTATCGAGGGTAACAAATTTGGTAAGCTCGACGCTGGTAGGAAGCAGGAAGGTTCGTCTATATTTTTTTTTGTTTTTTTTTTGCATTTGTTATTTCAAGAATTGTTTTGTTTTATGTTAAATTTCGGAACCGGTTCTAAGCGATAAGAAATTGAAATTGTGTGAAGAATACTATGGGCATTGGTTTTTTTTAATTCTGAACTTTTTGAATTACTAGTGTTCGCCAAGCCAACGAAATTGGACTTATTTGGTGTTAAGTGGCAAACGAATTCCAACAGCATAAATCCTCTTGAGAGATGAGTTCTAAATCGCAGTTCAATAGTACAATGACTACCCCCTCCCTCTCCCCATCTTTTGAACCAGAACGCATTACCGCTTCGCGGCAGAAATAGGCGGGCTTGTGGTAACTACCAGGGCGAGTTCACAGTATACCCTACCACGGGTCCAATTAGGCAAATTATAATCATGGAGACCATTCGTGAATTTATATTAAAAACATATTTGCTTACAAAAATTGGTACCTTTCTCCGGGATTCGAACACCGGCAGTCTCATTGCTCGATACGAATTCATAGGGCGTCACATCTTTGAGGCCACGACAACTTCAAACTTTGGCACTGGCAATGCTGTTGCCCTTGAGCGACAGCGACCACTTAACATTAGGTAGGCCATATGCTCGTCTGCTTAAAACGGCTAAAAAAATTTTAAAAAAATATTGGTATTTGAAGTCTGTAGTTTTTCTTGTGTCATATTATAGATAAATGTAACCCAATAATTCTTTGTTTTTTTTTATAGGTATTTCACATCGCATCACAGAGACCGCAATGGACTTTTTTATGGCAATTGTGTTGTGTGGATACTCTGTGACCGTTTATCTTCTGTGGAAAGATCATTACATCATGTGGAACAGATGGAGGAGAGCCAATGTCAATGTCAGATTACTACTGACCCCGGATTCGAACCCTGTGCCTTTCGTACCTAGAAATAGATATATCGTTTGAACGTTTTGGTATTAATTTATTGTTGTATTTGTTGAATGTATCATTTGTATTTTAATTAAAGTTTTATTTCGTTGTGATCGATATCGGGGAGCGGAGAAAATCTGCCGAAACACTTTAATGACAATATCGGTGTAGATGATTGTACCAGTTAACGTATTAACGACAATTTCACCTCTATTTTACAATTGGATATGCTCGAACGATGAGATGGCATTTATAACAATGTAATATGTTTGTTTTTGTATGTTAATTTCAACATTACTTAAATAGAGAATATTAATCGTTTAAAAGAAAAATGTTGGTATGAAAAGAGCATTGAAATGAGTATTAAAATTACATAGCAGTGCTTAATTTAAATTTAATAATAAACTATTATGTAAACCGTACTGAATCCAAATCAAAGATATTTTTTTATTGCCTTTGTAGGCAGACGAGCATACGGCCCACCTGATGGTGAGTACATACCGTCGCCCATGGACTTCAGCAATGCCAGGGACAGAGCTAAGCCGCTGCCTACATGAATATACGTAAACTTTTTCTTTTTATGGTTGAGAGATTACTGGTGCCCGGAGGCCTTTCCAGTTTTACCAGGGCAGGTGGGCGAGCAAGGGCTCAGCCAGGAGGGGTGGGATTTGCTAACAGCTACCCGAACGCTTCCAAAGGAGACCTAACAACTCAAGAGTAGCTGCTTCGCGAATCAATCTACTACCGGATCGGAATCGCGACCCGCTGAGAAGATCCGGCGAGAAACTCAGCGGGCTGATGCTTAGGTTAGGTTGCATGTCGAACTCTTTGCCGAGTTCGATCAGTACGGTTACCGGGGTCCCTACTCCTAGTGTCAGAGCTAAAGGTGTCTAATGCAAAGGTTATTGGATCTGATGGATCCGTAAGGACGTGTCTAGGGCGTCTATACAAATCGTTTAGACGTCCAAAATTATAAAAATTAGATATCATTATAGATCAAAAAAAGGAGTAATTTCTTGTCCGTTGAGAAAAACAAATGCAGGAAGTAGCAGTACGTAGCGGTTCTGGTACTGCAGATGTACACGTAATTTCGATCTTCCCGGAGTCCCGATCCACTAAACGGTGCTTTTAGGTACATGAAGCACCGGTCATCGTTCTCGTCGAACCCGCCGCATGCAACGAAGGGCTCGACGAGTAAATTAATAAGCTATATCAGCGAAACCTAACAAGTAGCTGAGCTCACGGGGCTCAAACCTGACGACGCTGCTAACACTAACCCTAGCAAGAGCAGTGCTTCGCAGAATCTCGATCGGAATCGCGCCTCGCTGAGAAACTCAACGGGCTGATGCTTAGGTTATGTTGCACGTCGAACACTTTGCCGAGTTCGACGAGTACGTTTACCGGGGTCTCTACTCCTGTTGTTAGAGCGGAAGGCGTCTAATGCAAGTGTTATTGGATCTTATGGATCCGTAAGGACGTGTGACTGGCTCCTGCGTGATCAGGATTTGGGGAGTAGTCAGCGGCGGCAACGATAAGGCGATTATCATGACGCATTTCCTTATCGAAGTAACGTTCCGACGCGGACTTCATGTATTTTCTGATCGATTCGAGGTCCAAGTCGTCGGGTAAGTCGACGTTTCTCACGTACCACGGAACTCCGACTGCTAACCTGCAAAAACGAGTTTGTAGGGATTGGAGGGTATTTATGTGTGTGCGGGTATTTATGCGTGAGCAATCACCACACTCGCGTAAGTCATGACGGGCCTTATGCAAGTTTTGTAAAGTGTCACCTTGTTCCGAAGGGACATTTTACTCCGCTTATAGATCATGAAGTAGTCTGTCGAGAATAAACGCGGCACGGTCGCAGACTGATTTTATATGTGGACGGAATGTCATGGATGCATCCAGGGTGACACCTGTGTACTTGACCTTCCTGGCCCAGGGTATGAGTTGACCGAAGAGGGTGATCGATGGTGTCAGATTTCTCCTCCTAATCGTTTCACTTTATTTCATATCAATCGATTTCTAATAAACAACTTCATCTCGATTCGGTCCGTATTTTTTATACATCGATATGTGTATTTTTGTAAAATCGACACTGGCAACAATGGCATCGCTAGAAGCGCTAGATCGCTAGGAATAATATCGACTATGTTAGCCACACGAGAGCACACCGTGACCAGTAGAAACAGAGCTGAAGCGGTCACCTTGGCTGCAGGAGAGTATTAGTATTACCTACTATTATTCTTATTGCTACGTGATTCTCGTAATATTTGCACAAATCTACATGAACATTGCGGATAAGGACTGCCGTTATAAAAAAAAAACAAGTACTTTAATCGAACCATTTATTAGCAATTGATACAAAAAAGGTTTTATAAAAAAAACAGTGTATAAAAATATCAAGGTGTTCTTCTTTAATTAGAAAATAAAAGTTTAAGAATACGTAATACCAATTTCCTTCCTTAGACGATTCTTGTCTCTTAGCGATAAGACCGCCCATTGTATTTTTCATTGATTTATTTATTTATTGCATAGATGAATGAGCGAGTTCAGAGCCCACCTAGTGTTAAGTGTTTACTGGAGCCCATAGACAGCTACAACGTAGGTAAATACCGCCACCCACCTTGAGATATAAGTTCTAAGATCACAGTATAGTTACAACGGCTGCCCCACCCCACCCTTCAAACCGAAATGCATTACTGCTTCACGGCAGAAATAGGCGGGGTGGTGGTACCTACCCGCCCGGACTCACAAGAGGTCCTACCACCAGTAATTACGCAAATTATAATTTTGCGGGTTTGATTTTTATTACACGATGTTATTTCTTCACCGTGGAAGTCAATCGTGAACATTTGTTGAGTACGTATTTCATTAGAAAAATTGGTACCCGCCTGCGGGATTCGAACACCGGTGCATCGCTACATACGAATACACCGGACGTCTTATCCTTTAGGCCACGACGACTACTATAATATAGCTGAATATTGGTGAAACTTTACAATAATATAGCTGACACATCACAATAACACATAGGCTACAATTTATAAAAATATAGGGTTCATTACTCAAAATATAACGGTAAGTAGTAAAAAAATCTGCCATCTTATTTGCATAATCAATAATAAATTAAATATTACCGAAGCGAAGCGAGGGCGGGTCGCTAGTATTAAATATAACTTTTTTTTATGACAACTCGTCACGCAATTAAAGTCGATAATATAATCTGTAAGTGTAGCATGGCAATATTAACTAAAAGGTCGAGTAGCCAAAGGCCGTAGACAAATTACGAAAAAAAAAAATTGTCTACGGCCGATAAGCCACGTTCTCACTATACTATAACATTTAACAGAAATTAGATTAACAAAAATAACAATACTGATAATTAATATAATACAATATTCACTCAACAACATTTAAAGATATAAATAACTTTATTAAAATTTTTAAATATACGATAACTTTAAAACATTGGTAAATACTTTGTTATTATAATCACAGTAATTCATACGCTTAAACACAAATGGTCAAAAATTAAGCGGTCACTGGAGTGCATAGATATCATAACGTTAATGCCGCCACTCCCATTGATAAACGAAGCGGCGTGAAAGCCTAAATAGTATTGTAATAGAGGTTTCTTTAACCTCAGTATATGCTTAGTGCGAGTTTCTTAACGTTCTCGATAGCGTAAAAGTTAAGCCAATTTTGTATGCAATTGGAACAGCGCCCCTAGCGGCAAACGTACGCAAACGATCCCACTTCATACAAATATGAGCTAACTTTTACGCTATCGAGAACGTTAAAAAACTCTCACTAAGCATTATTATTTATTATTATTATTAACTGACGAAGGGTTTAGGAACGCATAGATTTTTTTTGTATCCGTACATCTGTACAAATAAATAAAATTGGAGTGTCTGTTTGTAATAATAAAATAACCATTTTTATACTAAATGCGTAAGTATGTATACACAGTATATATACCAAAATAACTTTTTTATTTTTTATTTTGTCTGTCTGTTTGTTCCGGCTAAACTCTAGAACGGCTGGACCGATTTTGACGGTACGTTCACTGATAGGTAGCTGATGATATAAGGAGTAACTTAGGCTACTTTTTTAGACTACCTTCGCACCCGGCGTCACCCGCGATACGACACTAACCGCGGGTAGCATCGCGCGACTCAGCTAGTAGTATATATAAATCCTAACCTAAAAATACTTTGTGTATTTTATACAATAAAAAGAAATCGGCATTATTTTCTGAGTACAATAGTACTTATGTCTAAAGCTATATTATCCACAATATAAATAAATAAATAAATGCAATAACTTATATAACATGTAAGTTTTCAATTCCATTAAAAAAAAACAAAAAGTTTACTGGCGATATAAGACATAGATTATTCAAAAAGCTTCACTTGATTCTCTTCATATAAAACAAATTTGAAGAAGATTTAAAACAAAAGTACATACAAAATACAGTGAACTGCAAAAGTGCGTGGGTAGTACAGTAAAACTCATATGAACAACTAACGCCATCTAGGCAACGATACAGATAAACAATATCACTACCCACTTAAAATTAAACTTTAATAAATAAATAAATATAATACTCGTGTAATTAATAACACCACAAGCGCCATCTACTATTATTAACTTATAATCAAACATGCATAGGATTATAGAATCTAAATTCTACTGCTGAATGTACATATAACTAAAACATTGCAACTGACTGTACATACAATTAAGGAGGACTGCAATCGAATGTACATCCAACTACCAAGGACCTGCAACTTATTGTTCATACAAATATGAAAACTGCAGCAGACTGTAACTGACTGTACATCCAACTGCGAAGGACTGCAACTTATTTTTCATACAAATATCAAACTACAAATGACCGTAACTGACTGTACATATAGTACAAAGTCTATTTGAATTCGCAAAACAAAGATACAAGGACTGTAGATTACAGATACAATAATTTATAAAAACACCTCAGAAGTGTGCCTATCTAGTTGTCCCTCACATAATCTAATTTGATTAGGTTGTGTGGCGACGGCCCATCATAGCCACAACTCTCCCATTTCAGTGACAGTGGTACTTGTAGAAAACAACTAAAGGATTCACTGGTACATTCTTAGATTATAGAACTGCCACCATTAATTATTGCTTTTTTTGAAGTGAAACTTCTAATGCGACTTCCAACAAGTTTGCGTTAAACATTTAACGCTACCATGAAACAGAAAGAGACACAGCGAGAGTGAATGCGTAGCACTCGAGCGCACGCGCGTAGTATACCTGTTACAGGCCAGCGCGAGCGTTATCAACGAGTAGCGTCCAATACAATATTTTAATGAAGTATTTAGAAATATATATTTATTTATTTTTCTATGTATAGTATAAATGTTGAAGATATCACATCTCTTATACACAGCATTCCCTATTACAAGAGCAATCCGATTTAAGGATGAAAAATGAAGAAAACTACTAAATGCTACACATCGAAAAAGAAGTTTCACTTCATTCACGTGCACAAAGTTGCAAGCGGGCCGTTTTTGTTTTTGTTTATGTCATTTCTCACACTATATTAAAATCTAGAAAATATCGCTATAAATCTCACACAGAACTTACTTGAATAACATAATTTTTCAACTGTCATGTTTTTTTTTGTATCATAAAACACTGTTTACTCTTAACACAAATATTGTTTTTCATTTTTTATTTCCTTACCCGATACTTTCTTGATGGCTTCCATTAAGGATTCGTATGCAGACAACTGGCCGAATTTAAAACCTTCCAACGAATCTTTATTTTTACTGGCAGCACCGGCGGGTATGCCAAAATTGAATTCTAAGTTTGAATTCTCGTTTTCCTCTGACATTGTACCAGGAGGTCTTTCGATTTCAGGGGGTGTTTTGCCAAACTTGAAATCGCGCAGTTTCGTCTGTATTTCACCTTCATCAGTATTGTCTTCTGATGAATTTTGAATACCGAATTTAAAGTTCCCGCTCGGTTTTTCAGGTTCGCCGATTATTCCGGGCATAAGCTGACCCTTTTTGTCCTCAAAAACGTACATAATGCCATATCTCGCCAAGTTCTTACCTTCCCTCCCATTAAGCTCGTCGATGGTTTTAGGAATGTCCCATCTGCACGGAGAGGGTTTCATTCCAAAATATCCTTCAGAATCTTCAGGTTTTTCTGGTGCTAAATTTTTTTCTTCATCCGTTGCTACTGTTGAGCCTTCATCAGTTTTTTGATTCTCCTCTTTGTCTCCAGATTTAACTGGAAAGAAACAGCATATGCAATAAGGTCTTTAAGATGGACTGTGCAGATGTTTGAAGTCGTCGTGGCCTAACGGATAAGACGTCCGATGCATACGTGTTAAGCGATGCACGGGTGTTCGAATCTCAGGCGGGTACCAATTTTTCTAATGAAATACGTACTCAGCAAATGTTCACGATTGACTTCCACGGTGAAGGAATAACATCGTGTAAAAATGAAACCCGCAAAATTTTTATTTGCGTAATTACAGGTGGTAGGACCTCTTGTGAGTCCGCGCGGGTGGGTACCACCGCCCTGCCTATTTCTGCCGTGAAGCAGTTGTGCGTTTCGGTTTGAAGGGTGGGGCAGCCGTTGTAACTATACTGAGACCTTAGAACTTATATCTCAAGGTGGGTGGCGCATTTACGTTGTGGATGTCTATGGGCTCCAGTAACCACTTAACACCAGGTGGGCTGTGAGCTCGTCCACCCATCTAAGTAATAACAAAAAAATTGTGATCACAAAACCCACATAATCAGAGATCAGTTTTGCATAAAATCCACAGCAGCATCTTAGTCTTCGCAAAGTACGAGCCCACTGAGTTTCTCGCCGGATCTTTACAGTGAGTCGCGATTCCGATCCTGTGAGAGATTCAGCAGAGCACTGCTCTTACTAAAATAGATGTTAGCAAAATATCCCAGAATGTGCTCTGGGAGCTCGCTGACACTTACTATGAGGATAGTATAATGATTGATTGATTTTCCTAGCAGTAGGCAGGCAAAAAAAGCAAAGTACAATGGAATCATTAACATCCACTGAAGATAAATTTTTTTGCTCTCCGATTTTTAACATTTGTATTATGGTATATTTTGGATGCTGTGAGGAACTGTTTAATATCGACGCTTGAAAGGCAAACGTGACTAAGCGACAATGCATGAACTTTACAGTAGACTAATTTAAAGTTGAAATACCTGAAAACAAAATTTATTTTAACGAATCCAGCTGTAGTAGAATCTAGCTAGTAGCTGTAGGATTGAAATGATTTTAATAGACCTAGAAATATATTTTTTTTGCGCATCGAATATGGTTATTACCTATCATTTATGTACAAATCAGTTATTGTCGCTTAGTCACTTTTGCCTTTCAAGCGTCGATATGATAGGTGTCATTTGCTTTTTAACATGCTATCAGCCTAAGGTGTACAATATTATGGGAGGGCTAGGAACAACAATAGTGTTTAAATTTTTTTTACACGAAATATATTTCTGGAACTCCAGTCTCTTTTTTATTGGTCCTGTAATATACGGATTTCTTTATAAAAGAAAATCTTACAATACCTTCAGGTGTTAAAGTATTTTGTACATCTGTATTAATGGTGTCGGCTTCGTCATCAGTTTTTCGATTTTCCTCAGTATCTTCAGATTTTTCTGGAATAAAACAAAAATAATATAATCATCAAAGTCCAAACACTGATTCACCAAAATATGATGCAACGCAAAGGAGTCATGTGTTTGGGTTTGATTTGCTAAGTCCCATAACTCTATCTTCTTTTTTTTTCAATGCAATTGGTACTATAGTTGGATAGAGGTCAGATGTGAGAAATAGAATCTCACTGCAAAGTCCATTTTATGCCTTCTTACTACCTAGACTAGCCCTTAGTCTTGTAGCTATGAGAAACTGTAGTGCATGGACCTACAGACTTAATGACCATTGTCATGATTATGTGAGACAATAATTATTCAGTCTGCTCTCAAAAACATGTAACATTTTTAGTATAGACAATGAAAACTTGAAAATGTCTAGTAAGATTACAAAGTTTAAATGTTTTCCAAATAAATAAATAAAATTATACTCTCAAATGTTTTGGGTACAGATGTTACTGTTATGTCAGTATTCTCAGTAGGGGCCACATTTCCTAAAGTTCCCTATATATTTCCAGTTGTAGCTGCAAAGCATTTATAATATTCATTATTCAACTGACCCGGAGGTGCAGTAATTGGCTATGGTGGTAGGACCTCTTGGGAGTCCGCACGGGTAGGTACCACCACCCCGCATATTTCCGCCATGAAGCAGTAATGCGTTTCGGTTTGAAGGGTGGGGCAGCCGTTGTAACTATACTTGAGACCTTAGAACTTGTATCTCAAGGTGGGTGGCGCATTTACGTTGTGGATGTCTATGGGCTCCAGTAACCACTTAACACCAGGTGGGCTGTGAGCTCGTCCACCCATCTAAACAATAAAAAAAAAAAAATTACCGACTACGCACTACTGTGAAAACAGATAGGAAGATGTTGGACGGTTAAATTAGAGGGATTGGGTTCTTTAGATGATGAGGGGCTATTTAAAAACACAACTGCTTCATTATAATTATATTGCAGATTGCTTGAACACTTTTACACCATTATACAATTATTATCTTTATATTTTTTATAAAACTATTACATGTTTGTCTTGCCGTGTCTAGATGAGAAGTACTGACATTTTCTTACGAGAATACAATGATCTGTTTTTTAAACATTTAAAATAATTCTAATATTCGAAATCTAATCAAGTGTCAAGTGTTGCCTGCCATTACATTTAATAAACAAACTCCAACAGAAGATCAAATTTATTGTTATTGCGTATTAATATGTACCTGAAGAGTGTTGATTTTCCATTTTATTTCTAGTATTTGTATCGTCAATATTCTTGCTTTTATTCCTCCGTAGTATTCGAGACCGCCCACGATAATAAATATTATTTATGGTTTTTATTGTTACACTCACTTGGTTGGTCTTCGCGTGATTTAGGAAAATGTTTATCAAATGAATTTGATTGACGTAAAGTAATAGTACCTAGTAGTTTTATTTTTCCAAATGGAAAAGCAAAAGTACCACACCATACAGCCTAATCTTTTAAAAAAAATTTATTATATTATTATATGATATTAGGAAATGAAATGAAGCTGATTATAGGTCTACCAGGATCTGATAGCAAAAAGGAAAAAAAAATTGACGCTAGCAATACTGGGGAAATTTGAGTAAAACGTTTTGATACTTTTTTTTCTTATAGCGGCTGGATTCTGTGTGTGATACATGCAAATATAAAAAAATATGCACTGATCAAGGATATTATTTGAAAATCTTACTGTGGTGAATGTGGGGTTCGAAATTTAGATGAAAACTCCAATTACTCTGTTCATGAATTTATGCGCTCTTATTAATTAATTATAGGCTATCAGAACTTGAAAATGGTTCCAAATACTGCACATCCATAAAAAAGTCTTCATCCGAAGAGGAAGACGCAGTATTTTTGCCACCTTTCCTCTTTTTACCGGGCGTACTAAATACGCCTCTGTTAGATCTGCCTTCAGCAACAATTCGTCTTATGGTAGTATTAGAAACACCTGAAATAAACAAAATTTTAGTAAACATAATACACACGAAAACGCAATAAAGCAAGGTATCAAGACGTGTCATTCCTACTAACCAGTCAACGCTTGCACATGCCTCAATATCGATGATTGTGTTCGTTCTGCGCCTTGTTCATCAAGTATTCTTTGATAAACATTGAAAACAATATTTTTTGCTTGCCATCGAAGAGGTGTCTTTGACATTTTCACCGCTTTTTAAAGGAAATTTGAAGCCAAACCAAAAACAATTCTTTGAAATTTCAGTTTTGACAGATGAAATTTTTTTGTTGCTATATGAAAATCACTATTTTTATAGCTTTTTTTGAGATGAGATGATATGATACATGAGAACCCTCTCATCGTAGCCGTTGGAAATTACATACCCGACCCAGTAGACCGAATGGTAAACCGTCGACGTCGCCCAAAGCACGTCATTACGGATCCTCCTGATCCATTAACGGTGCTTTTAGGCACCACAAGCACCGGTCACCGTCCTCGTCGAACCCGTCGCCTGCGACGAAGGGCTCGACGAGCGAACTAACCCATAGACACAGCCCACTGAGTTTCTCGCCGGATCTTCTCAGTGGGTCGCGTTTCCGATCCGGTGGTAGATTCTGCGAAGCACTGCTCTTGCTAGGGTCAGTGTTAGCAACTCTCCGGTTGAGCCCCGGGAGCTCACCTACTAACGTTAGGGTGAAGCTGAAATAGCCTCTCAAGGCTATCAGCATAGGTAGGGAAAAAAAAAAAGATATGATATCGGATATTTTTATAAAAAATTATAATATGGAGTGAAATTACATGAAGAATTTGAGACATTAATCAACTGGTATGAAATTAAATGAAATGAGATGAGATGATATGGGATGAAATATAATCTCAGTAAAATGGTGGTCGCTTACTGAGATTTTTTCAGTGGACTTTTTGGAGGATCCAGAGAAGTTACGTCCAACGGCTTTGTTAACTTTCCCCACATTTGTGCACTTTCACAGATACTAAACAGTTAATAAATCAGAAGAAACACTAAATAGACAAAATAAAACAAATCACACAACTTCACACCTCGCGTTCCCGCCAAAAAGTGATAGACGTAAAAATTGTGTCACTATGGAACCTACGAGAATAAGTACGGCAGATAAAATATTAAGTAGGTAGGTATGCAGGTAGTCAACTTACTTTGAAAACTTTACGCCTCATATTTGTGCACTTGTATACAATGGATTGTTATTCAAAAAGTTTAAAACCACACACACCACGTCTGAGATAGTTTTTCTTTTCTTCTCAATCGTACACTCCTAGCGGAGTGGTCGTGGTTATGTACGTCTTATTTAGACATTTCCATAACTCTCATGGGAAAATAGTAGCAGGGGCTTAATAAAATAAATATAAATAATTAAAATAGTGTTCTGATATAGTAATGCGAGCATGAAACACGAATCTACCTGCCGAGATAAACAGTGGCATAGCAAGGTAACCAAGGGCCCCAGGGCAAATTAAAAAATGGGGCCTCACTGCTATGTAAGCGGATTAGGTTTTATGAAATAAAAATAATATGAAATATACAAATACTTTAAAAATGCTAAGCTACTTAAGCTCTTTTTTTGATTGCTGACGTGGCAGCGCGTCGCCATGCGCAAGCGTCTGTCGCATTATTTTATTATTGTATTTTTCTTATTCCACACCAATTTTCTATTCTAAGCTATCCATATAAACATTTAAATTTGTACAAAGTAATATCAATGTTTCACATCTACAAGCTTTACCGCGATGGCTCGTTTTTCCTTTCCTTTGGAACATACCATCAAACTCGACTTTGGAACAAACTTGCTTAATTCAGGATGTGGCAAAAGATAAGGATGATTTCATCTAAAATTGTTATTGTCATCATCCAACTGATGTTATCAAAAGCGATTTAAAGGTATGGAAGAGATTGCCTTTAAAAATCACATACAGTAAATTGATTTGAATTGAACAGAGTATAGAGCGTTGGATTGGAAGGATAATTTACGGTTTCACATTTATCGTTAGGATTCATATTAGGTGACGAGAAAAAATGGGGTAATTAAACATTGTTAGGTATTTTTTATACTATGTACTATAAGAATATAGTTTTAATAAGCTTTTAAATGCCTTATCTTTCTTCTTTTGCCACGATTATCTTTCATATATTTTTTCTTTCCGACACTCATTTTCTAGAATTGGTTGCGATGAGGACACGGGAAAAAATATGCTTGCAATCTGCCTGGCTTGAGATCTCACACAAGGATTTCAATTCCAGTTTAAATCAATTGGCTACGTTTCTTTTGCCGGTCTGATCGGACATAACAAAAAGTGACTTTTGACATATTGAAGTTTGAACGAATGATTATTATCTCGATAAATCTTACTGTTGGTAAATTTTCTAACGGCGGCAAACAGTAGTGCTTACTAAACATTTATTGAAATATCTAAATATACATACTTCCATCATTTAAACTATTTTACTTTTACATAAGTTTATCTATAGTTTACAAAATGAGTTTTTCTTTTGGAACTACTACAACGTCGTCTAATACTTTTGGTACACCTACACCATCAACAGGTAAATTCTTTTTCGTTTGAATATCAAGTTCCAATTTGAAGCTTTATAAATTGAAATACTCTAGAATACGATTCGAACTACGATATATATGTTTTTTTAAACAATAATTAAATTGTAAATGTAAACAATATAACCACACTTTTTTCACGTTAAGATCAAAAAATTAATTAATTGGATGTAATTACAGGATTTTCATTTGGCAGCGGTGACGCTTCAAAGCCGTTATTTGGTGGATCCAACACAGGTACGATGCGTACAAAAACTTCCGGTAACAAATACATGCGATATTTTAAATCTGAAATTTTTCCTTAAATTTTTACTGTCTATTTTTGTTACTTGATTTATTAACAGTGGTGCTGGTTTCTTAAACCCAGAGACATGGATATTTTCAGTAAAGATGAAGTACACTCATTAGATATCCAAACATGAATCGAATCCCAAAAGCATATAGAAAATGCAAATAATATTTTTAATTTCTCAGAAAACAAAGCAACGTTCAGTTTTACTAGTCCCACAACAAGTGCACCAGTATTTGGCAGTTTTGCATTTGGTGCTAAAACGACAAATGCTGCACCTTCACCATGTAAGTAATGGCCTTCGTTTACTTAACACTGAATATACTGTATGGGTGTAATTAAACCATAGCCAAAAGACATGCAAAAGATATTTAAACAACTATTAACACTCCTAGCTGACATGTGAAAAATTATTAAAAAAATTACAATTATCCCTCAAAGGGGTTCTTAAATGATCAATATTTCATAGAGATTTATTTACACTCAGATCCTATGTTCTAAATAGAATTTTCATATAAGTTAAAGTTAAATTAAACTCCAGGAATGAATCTAACACTAAAATAGAATTGACCTACAAATAACAAAATAACATAGTGCTTAATCAAAATTATCACCACACTCTACTGAATCACAAAATATAAAAGCTATGATCCTTTCCCGTACTGCTCTTTATAGACAGTGAGAATCTACCTGCTCAAAAAAAAGCTTCTTACAACAAACATTACAAAAAACATTCTACTCATAACAAATGCCTCTCACACTTATGTATTGTATGGCAGTTTCATCTCCATCGACAACGACTACAACTGCAGGCTTTGGAGCGAATAAGCCAACACCCTTTGGAGGTTTCACTTCACCTCCTAATCAGACAGTTGGCAGTTCTGCTTTTGGGCAAGCAACAAATCAGGTGTGTACAGTAATTTTGTTGGGAGCCTGTCAAACAAACTATTCGTCAGTTTGGTGTGATGTCTCCAGCTGCGTTTATCGATCAATACTGTATTTTGCATTTCACCAAATTAAGTGAAAAAAAAAATCAGTTATATTTGTAAATTTTACTGGTGGTAGGACCTCTTGTGAGTCCGCGCGAATAGGTACCACCGCCCTACCTATTTCTGCCGTGAAGCAGTAATGCGTTTCGGTTTGAAGGGTGGGGCAGCCGTTGTAACTATACTGAGATCTTAGAACTTATATCTCAAGGTGGGTGGCGCATTTACGTTGTAGATGTCCATGGGCTCCAGTAACCACTTAACACCAGGTGGGCTATGAGCTAGTCCAACCATCTAAGCCATAAAAAAAAAAAACAATGTTCTGCCATTGTTAAATTGTTGTGAAAAAAATGATATCTTTTCTTTCTTAGTTTGAGAATGCTTACATTCTACTTATCTTTTCTTTCTTAGTTCGAGAATGCTTACATTCTACATAACTCTTATATGTTGTTTACTGTGCTCCTTTGCATGTGTTAATGCCTTGTAATGCTAGTGAATATTTCACAGAATGCAGGACAGGCCCAGAATCTGTCGTTTGGTGCAACCACCACAGCACCACCGGCATTCGGTACACCTGCCACACAAGGTTGGTTATAAATATAATATAATAAATTTATTATTATAATGAATATATAAATGATATTATACTAAAATGACGATTATAATGGTAACACAGCTTAAGACCTGGATTGACAAATATAATTATTTTGACATGGCAGATGACATGGATAATTATAAATTTAAAATTAAAAAAGGATTATAATATTGCTTTTGTAAATGCACTAGTGCTCAGCTTTTGCTATTATGAAAATTGGACTTAAAGTTCAGAAAAGTTTTAAGTCATTGTTCCTTACAAACGAAATTTATAATTATTTCACCAGTACGTCTTGCTTGCATCGCATAGCCATCAGTAATAAAGTGAACAGAAATTTTAGGAATAGGAAATGTATGAACAGGAAATTTGTTTTAGCTGCTGCCCCAGCATTCGGTTCCAGTGCAAATACAGGTTTTAGCTTCGGGAAGCCGGCATCAACGACAGCTGGCTTTAGTTTTTCAACACCTACATCTGGTTTCTCAGCACCGCAAGCTAGTACTGTAAGTTATTATAACAATCCCAAAAAAAATCATTTTTAGATCATCTCCAGTTTGTTTTGTCTGTTATTTTTGTTGTTAAGTTTAAGGTACAAAGGTACCTATTCTAAATCCAACTTCTGATTACAATAATTTGTTGAAACCAGGAGACAGTATCAGTCTGTATATTGTAGTTACTTAGCTGTAAGCATTAATAGCCATCAGTACACTGTTTCTGCTGCAAAGCAATCATGCACTCTGATTATAATTAAATAGTTATGAAAACTATTTTACAAAGGTAATTGAAAGCCTTATAACTAAAAGTATGCTCCACGAAACATTTAGGATTAGCTAACATTAACAGCAGCTCAAATGTAGCCAGGTTTTGTTGGTATTAGGGCATCTTCCGAGCCCACAAGGATAGGTACTACCCTGCTAATTATCCTGTTTGGAGAGTGGGGCAGCTACTATACTACAGAAGTGAGACTTACAACTGATGCTTCATGTGTGTGGCAAAAATTACGTTGATATTTATGGGCTCTGGTCAACGCCTAATACCAGTAGGACTGGAAACTCATTCTCCCATCAAAGAATATAAAAAAAAAAGATAAGAATAGAGATTATTTTCAATGCTTTCTTCTACCATATTTATTGATGGATTTCTTCATGTTGAAACATTTCCAGGCAACAACAATAGTACAACCGACTCTACCAACGTTTGGTCAAACAACCGCAGCACCGGCCTTAGGACAGAGTTCATTTGGATCAACAGGCTTCAGTTTTGGCAGTAAAACCGCTATAACTACAACCAGTACCGGTTCGTATTTTGGTTTTGTATTATAAAAAGTGATAATCTATTACAAAATTTAATAAAATAAAATATTTGAATCAATGACTCTCTTAGAACATTAGGAAGTATCTTTATTGCACCAGCAAGGAAATACATGGTTGAACAAAAACAAAAAACAAAATGTGGAAACTTTTTTGTTTCTGAGATTATCTTTACTTCTTATTGCAACCAAATAAAATATTCTTGAAATATTACTCAACCAATAATCAAAATTCGCTTGTATCCACTGACATCAAGGTTTATTCTATCAATTAATTTTATTTCCTTACTTTTGTTATGGTAATGGATGAAATTGTAAATTTAAAATTTAAAAACTTGATGGCAGTTTAAGTTCGTCATTTAGTATATACAGCTCGACACCGTAGAAAATAATCCTATTTTGTCTTAAACTATATATATCAATCAATCAATGACCCCCTTAATCCTGAACTTTTAGGGCTGTTGATTTCATTTTGGTTTGTTTTACAGAATAAATCTAAGTTCAGTTTGTTTCTTGGTATAGGCCTTCTCTTACGTGTTCCACTGCTATCTTTAGCAACACTCCTTCAGTTGGGCCTGGCTGTCCACATTATCTCATCTTCCCATCCATACACTTTCTTTCCTTTATTCTTTTTACTGTCTCTAGGGTACCTACGATTCAGTGATAATCTTGTACCACTTTTCTTGGGTACTTCTCAATATATTGCGAAGCTTATTTATATACAGGTCACTTACAATTTAAATTATTATTTTTTTGTTGCAGTAACACCCGCACCAAGTTACAGTTTCGGTGGCAACACATCTCAGCCAGCATCTGGGCTTAATTTGGGTGGAACGAATTTCACTACCACAGCTCAAAGTAGCATACCAAGCTTCGGTACTACTACAGCCGCACCTGGTGTAGCTTTTGGCACGTCTCCAGGTCAAACCACGACCGGGCTTAGTTTCAGTACACCATCCACCAGTGCGACCAGTGGTCTTAATTTTGGCACCGGCGTTGGATTCGGCACAACTACACAGAGTGCAACACTAAGTTTCGGCGCACCGACAACACAGACCACCGTAACTCAACCTTCCACTGGGCTTAGTTTCGGGGGGCAGACTTCTCAGGGCTCAGCGACCGGGCTTGGTTTTGGCACGGCTGTTACAACCGGGTTAAGCTTTGGAACGAGTACGGCAGCGGCCGCAACGACTTCGGGGCTTAGTTTCGGTGTAAGCTCAGCACCTAGTACTCAGGCAGCCGGGCTTAGTTTTGGTGTCAGCTCCACACCAAGTACACAAACAACAGGACTTAGTTTTGGCGTCAGTTCCACGCCGAGTACACAAACGACAGGGCTTAGTTTTGGTGTGAGTTCAACGCCAAGTACGCAAACCTCTGGTCTGGGATTTGGTGTCAGTTCCGCGCCAAGTACGCAAACGACTGGGCTTAGTTTTGGTGTCAGCTCCGCGCCAAGTACCCAAGCTACCGCGCTTAGTTTCGGGGTAAGCTCGGCCACTACTCAGCCACCGAGCACCGGAATCAATTTTGGAACTGGTACATCAGCCGGATTAACCTTCGGAACGAAAACTGTTACCACGACCGCTGTTTCTTCCGCACGTAAGTCATGCAGATGATAAACTAATTAAAAGTATTTTTTTATTTATTGTATTGATTAGTGCGATTTTCGGATTTCCACAAGTTCTTGGGTAACTTTTGTGAAGATCTTTTTTCGGAGATTTCAATTTCTTGATAGATTATTTTTATTTAAAGGAAACGTATAAATGGAGGTAGAAATCACAATAACTTTTCAAATCGTCATTTTTTTCTAATGTATTGCGTGCTACCAATATAATACCAGTGGATGCCACGGTCTTCCCTAACTCTTTTAGCCAATTAATAACGTTTTCCCCTTCTTATTTTTTTTTATTGCTTAGTTTGGTGGACGAGCTCACAGCCCACCTGCTTTTAAGTGGTTACTGGAGCCCATAGATATCTACAACGTAAATGCCGCTACCTTGAGATATGCGTTCTAAAGTCTCAGTATAGTTACCACGGCTGCCCCACCCTTCAAACCGAAACGCATTACTGCTTCACAGCAGAAATAAGCAGGGTGGTGGTACCTGCCCGTTTGTTAAGAATATGTCGATATTCTCATTTCTTATCGGGTTCTGATTAATTATTACCGTACTTGCACTGAATAATCTGAAAATATTAGTTATGTTCTTTCGAAATCAGATTCGTTTTAATTATATGGTACTTATATAAGTATATACACTTTTGCTATGATGATATAGTTAAATACCATAAAATCTCTAGTTTATTCACCAAACATTGTCCAAGGATACTTTGATGGCGCTAGCACGGCGTTAGGGCGTGAGATTTGACAAGAAAGTTTTAATAACCTTTGTGCGTTTTAAAATGTCATTATAATCAGTGTCAGATATCGCTGTCAATGTCATTATTAAAGTTTGTAAATTTCGCTAAATTTCAGCATCCACTACCACCCCGTCTGGCATAACGGCACTGGGAAAAACTACAGCTTCAACTTCAATAATGCCCACTTTGACTACAACAACGTGAGTCGATTAACTAGCTTATAAAAAGTACAGTGTGCTTAGTGCGAGTTTCTTAACGTTCTCGATAGCGTAAAAGTTAAGCCAGTTTTGTATGCAGTTGGAACAGCGCCCCTAGCGGCTAACGTATGGTGCCGCGCCCTGACCCGTGACAACGTCGCAGCGTTGCGACGTCCGCAGCGCGCGATTGCGGTCAGGGCGGTTCGTGGGTACCGCACCGTCTCGTTCGAGGCGGTGTGCGCGCTCGCCGGGACGCCTCCCTGGGACCTGGAAGCGGAGGCTCTCGCTGCGGATTACGCGTGGCGATGTGATCTCCGCTCCAGGGGGGAGCCGCGTCCCGGCGCGGCGGAAGTTCGAGCGCGGAAGCTTCAATCTCGGCGTGCCGTGCTCGAGGCGTGGTCTCGCCGCCTAGCGGACCCTGCCTACGGGCGACGGACCGTCGAGGCGATCCGCCCGGTCCTCTCGGACTGGGTGAATCGCGACCGAGGACGTCTCACCTTCCGAGCGACGCAGGTGCTCACGGGACACGGCTGTTTCGGTCGCTACCTGCACCTCGTCGCCCGGAGGGAGCCGACGCCGAAGTGCCACCACTGCAGTGGCTGCAACGAGGACACGGCGGAGCACACGCTCGCGTACTGCCCCGCTTTCGCGGAGCAGCGCCGCGTCCTCGTTGCAAAAATAGGACCGGACTTGTCGCTTCCGACCGTCATGGCTGCGATGCTCGGCAGCGATGAGTCCTGGCAGGCGATGCTCGACTTCTGCGAGTCCACCATCTCGCAGAAGGACGCGGCGGAACGGGAGAGGGAGAGCTCTTCTTCCCTCTCGGCGCCGTGCCGCCACCGTCGAGCCGGGGGTCGGAGGAGGGCGTTTGTCCAGCTCCGGCCCCTATGAGGAGGCAGTCTCCTCCCGGTGATGGTCACGGGGCGACCTAAGGGGGTTGAGACTGCGCCGCACGCTACCGTCACTCTAGCGCGCTGGCACCAGGAGGACGGGACGACACATCGGCGGCTGCGGACTGCGATGCGGTCCGCATTTTCGTCGTCGCTGTCGTCGCCGAACATACTGTGGAAGAGCAACCCGATCGGCGGTGTATCGCGTTCCGACCCGGCAGGCTGGTTCTGGCCCAGCGGGGTATCCCGGAACACCAGCGGCATCGCCCGGGCGGCCTGGTAGGGCCGCCGTACCGCGGAGACTGACGTCGTTGGTCGTCGACTATCGCCTCGACGACCCGTCGGTCGGGCGTCTTCGGGGTGGAGCCGCGTGTCTGGTTGTAGTGTTGACCGCGGGAACCCCCCCACTCTGACCGGGTTTTGACCCCGGACGGAGATCGGACGCCGGGTGTAAGAGTGCAGGGGAGTCGTTTAGTGGGTGGGCCCTAAATTCCTTGGGCTCGCGGTCTGCTCTCAACATCTGCAGATCGTTGAGTCTCACATACCCCGCGCGCCCCCTAGGCGCGGGGACCTCGTAGGAGGTTCGGCCCTAGGCCCGAAAAAAAAAAAAAAAGCGCCCCTAGTAACAAACGTATGCAAACGATCCCACTCCATACAAACATGACCTAACTTTTACACTATCGAGAAAGTTAAAAAACTCGCACTAAACACACTGTTTTGTGTTAGATCATATTGCGCTTATAAAAAGTAATATTTTGTGTTAGATCATATTGTAAGCTTGTATAGGCAAGGACCTTCAACCTGCTTAGTTCTGCTGCGAAGCTTGAGCTCATTCCATTGTTCAATGCAATAAAAAAAATGGCACTGCTATTTACATCCACTTTGGAATGAAACGGACTTGTTCTTAAATGAATCTAACGATTCCTTATGCTACAATATTGAGACATAAAAACATCTGATAATTAAGTAGATTTGCTGCAAAGCATAGATGGAATTCATACCATATTAGACAACGAAGAAATTTGGAATGTATCAAATATCAGTTGTGTCTGGGTATATGATGGCATCATTTTAAATTTTTAGTACTGCAGCTGCACCAGTTCCACCTCAACCGATAACTTCGATAACATTTGCACAATTAGAGGAGAATATCAACAAATGGACCTTAGAATTGGAAGAGCAGGAACGGACATTCATCAACCAAGCTACCCAGATTAATGCTTGGGACACATTACTAATAGCAAACGGAGAGAAGGTATGATCACATTTTTTGAACATAATAATATATATTTGTATATTTTTTTAACATACCTTGTTATTTTCTGTAATTTTTGTGGTGTAATAGTTGCTTTGAAATGAATTAAACAGGTTTGGTTGGGTCTCTGAATTTCTTCTAGCCACGGTAGGCAGCGGCTTGGCTCTGCCCCTGGCATTGCTGAAGTCCATGGGCGACGGTAACCAATCACCATCAGGTGGGCCGTATGCTCGTCTGCCTACAAGGGCAATAAAAAAAAGCCACACTACTCGAAATTGAATTGAATGGAAGAAGTCCTGATAAATAAATAATACCTCGATGTATATACTTCTCTGTGAAAATATATTTTGCGTTAAAATCTATTCTTTTCATTATTTTTAGATTATCATTTATAGAAGTTTAGAGAGTAGGGCATTGTGGTACATCTGTTTATAATTGTGTACTTTATATACAATACTAAAAGAAACATGATTTTTGCCCAATGCTATATCATTTGGTGAGGCATAAAATTTTATTTTATTGTGTAACAATTGACCCATGCTTCATAGTTTAAATTTAGTAAACATAGAGACCGCTTTTGATAAAATGATGACCTTGAAATTATAATTTTATATATCTTAAATGATGGAAGCCACATATATGTCCAATCAAATATAAGAGAGAAACAACCGAGAATTTTCTCTTTTGCTTTAAAAATGCAGAATTATGACTTTTACAAATAATGCTTTTTCCACAGATCGTAGAACTAAACGAAGCAGTCGAGACAGTTAAAAACGAACAGCAATCACTGGAACATGAATTAGACTTTGTACTGGCACAACAAAAAGAATTGGAAGATCTATTAGGACCGATGGAGAAACAGTTACTGCAAGAGAACAATGACCGTATCAAAGATCCGGAAAGAGAACATATGTTAGTGTTTTTTTTTTTGCATGGAAATATGGTTCTCAATTACAGAAGAAAGATATTATTATATAATCATGTTTATAAACAACTATTATGTATAATGAAATAGTCGTCTATCAGGTTTTACTGGTGATAGGACCTCTTGCGAGTCCGCGCGGGTGGGTACCACCACCCTGCCTATTTCTGCCGTGAAGCAGTAATGCGTTTCGGTTGGAAGTGTGGGGCAGCTGTTGTAACTATACTTGAGACCTTAGAACTCAAGGTGGGTGGCGGCATTTACGTTGTAGATTTCTATGAGCTCCGGTAACCACTTAACACCAGGTGGGTCGTGAGCTCGTCCACCTAATGATGTTGTGTTCATTTAAAAATTTTGAAGCCCCACATAGGAGCAGATTTAAAAAATCAGCTGTATACTGAGCTATTAACACTACATTATAATAATTTTATTTCATTTCGATACTAGGTATTCACTAGCGGAAAATTTGGATTCTCAACTGCATCAGATGTCGGAAGATCTGAAGGAAGTTATAGAGCATCTCAATGAGACTAACAGAAGTCAAGATGGCAACGATCCTGTAAGTGATTGTTTTGATTAAAAATGAAACGATTATTCCTTAAAGCAAGGTTAAGGTTTTCAAATTTTTTTTATCAAAACTCATTATTTCTACGTTAATTGTTACGAGCCACTACTGTCTTATTGCTGGTAGCTTAGGGCCATTTATCTATGCTAATATATAAATCTACAGTGGTTTTTACGGATGTTCCGTTATAACTACTGAACCGTGCATCCGATTGACTTGAAACTTGGTATCCATGTAGAAAATACATGTACTTAATGGATAGGCTAATATTTATATGAGTGTTGGACTCCCTAATAATAATGACAATAAATAATAATGTTAATTTTAAATGCCCAGCGAAGCGGGCGAGTACGGCTAGTTATATATAAGAATTTGCTCTAAGTAAAAGAAAAAAATTAATACATTCCAGTATAAAAGTTAATACATTTTTGAGCTTTTAGATTGAATAGTACCCAGTATTTTGAATGTCGAAAAGAAGCTTAATCTCTACTTATGCGTATTGAACTTATGCATTTTAAAATTACTCAAATAACTCAATCTTTTTCTCTTTCAGATTGTCCAAATCGGTCGCATACTAAACGCTCACATGTCGTCGATGCACTGGATAGACAACTCCATAGCTCAGATATCCAATAAGCTGGATCAATTGAAGAGCGTTCACGACACGCTCAGGAAGGATAACGAGAGATCATTTCAATTGACTTACAATTAATCGGTTTTTATGATATGTGTACGGTTGGTTCAGTTTTGTGATTTTTGTCGATTGTTTCTGGATGTCATTGTTAATAATTAACACGTTGACTGATTTGTAGGTCACCGGTGCCCTACGCAGCGCATTGAAGTAATTATGTCGATTTCTCTCTTCAATGGATTCTTTCTTACTAAGGAATATCTAGTAGACTCTGGGAAAGACGAATCCGAAGATACTGAGAATTAACCTATTCCTAAGAGATCTAGAAGACTAAAAACATACATTAAAAAACAAAAGAAGGTAAATTGACATAATTACTTCAGTGCGCCGCGTAGGACACCGGTGACCTACAAGGCAATTAACGTGTTAAACACGCCTACGAGTACTCAGAATGTTTGTAAACTGTAATAGAAGAATATTTGTAATACAACATTAGTTTTACTATTGCAGTACTTAAAGTAGTGAATTGTATTGTTTGATTAACTAATGAATACAGTACAGTGTAGGACTTGTAAAGTTTTCTTTTAAATAAATAATAGAAATAAATCTCATATTAAATAAAAAGGTTAATGTCGCATAACCGACTATGCTTCTAATCTCAAGAATTGTACTTTATACGAATATTTCTAAACAAGCTATTATTAAAGAAAATAGAGATGATGAAGGTTGTTCACCTTCATTAAAAATCTGTCGTATAATAAAAGTAAATATTTTCAGTATTACCCAAAAAAACAAAGAGGTCACTACTTTGTACAATGACGTCAACATTCAAGAACCCGTTGCGAATGCTATACCAAAAAATGCGTAGAGTAGAATTCAATTGTCATTTAATAACACATACATATAATTTACTTACATTCCTCATTATGCTATTTATGATGACGTGTTCAAAGACACTTCACATTACGACAGTACCTAAATGTACTATGAGGATGAAAATGTGAATCAAATATTTTCATGAATCCCTTGTATTTCGTACTATCAAATGCAAGTTCGCGATCAAACTGCATTATTACTATACATTATATTTTAGAAAATTGAGTAACATGGGTTCAAAGAATTTTAATTCAAATCACGTAATATGTTGTTACCCAAGCAAACAAACGAACGTAATTTGATTATATTGATGATCAGTGTGCTTTTTGTGTGAGTTTTTTAACGTTCTCGATCGCGTAAAAGTTAGCTCAAATCTGTATGGAGCTGGAACGTTTGCCTACGTTTGCCGCTAAGGGCGCTGTTCCAATTGCATACAAATTCGAGTTAACTTTTACGCTATCGAGAATGTTAAAAACTCGCACTAAGCACACTGGCCAGTGACGAGGCCAGAAATGAAACACTCAAATAGTATTTACAAATGAATGTGTCATTTATTAAAGACGTTAAAATGTTTTTGTTATGGCAACAAAATGATTCAATAAATAAAAATAAAAAATATTATGTATATATATAGTTTTTTTGTTATTGTTATCAAATCCATCGATTTATTTCCCTCTACTTTTTGATGGCCCATTTTGACAGTCTGACTATCGTCTCACAAATAAACCAAAGGCTTAGGAATGTTGATTTGATTCAAATAAATATTATATCCGATTGAAGTGGACCGTTCTCGAAGCCCGAAGCTAGTTTCCAAGCATCTTTAATTGTTTGATGACTGCGAAAGACCGTTAAATACAAATTTATGACTGCGTCTAATTCTTTTTATAACTGATTACGACACATAGAGCAACAGTCGAATCCCATCGGCATAGAAAAATTTGTGGTGTTCACTCGTTATGGATTTGTTTTATTTAAAACCCGACACGAAAACTTATTTCGGTACTTAGTTTCCAGATATATATCTTTCTTTTTTTAATGATTACTGGTGGCCCTGTGGCCTTTCCATTTTCACCAGAACAGGTGGGCGAGCAAATTCTCAGCGAGGAGTGTTTGATGGGATTTGCTAATAGCTGTTCGAGCGCCTCCGAAGGAGACCTAACAACTCAAGAGCAGCTGCGTCGCGAATGAATCTACTACCGGATTGGAATCGCGACCCGCTGAGAAGATCCGGCGAGAAACTCAGCGGGCTGATGGATGGGTTAGGTTGCACTTCCCTTTGCCTAATCCTAGTGTTAGAGTTGAAGGCGTCTAACGCAAAGGTTAATGGATATGATGGATCCGCAAGGACGTGGGATATAAATATTTTGTGAAATGAAAGTGGTTCAAGTTAGCACTTACGTAGAAGATACATTGTTCATCAGGTGCAGCAGAAACAGAGATAGTCCCCATTTGCAGTATTTAGTTTTTAAATTCAATTCATACGATCAGTAGTCAAATTATGTTTATTTCCGGCAAAAAATCATCTATTCTTAAAATAGCAGCCTTCTTTTTTAATACGATTCATGTTACGATACCTTTCATAAAACATGTGGCGGCATCCCTAGTTACTAAACTACTCATCGCTAGCGGCGGTGTGCGGCGAATTACAGGCTATCTTTCGATCAGGGTCTCTAAGCTCTAAACCGCGAACGCGAATCTGGTCATAAATAGTAATCACTTAACACCAGGTTGGTTGTGAGCTCGTCCACCGACCTAAGCAATAAAAAAAAAACAACGATACTTGATTATTTAGTCTCAGATCGATTCAGTGAATGAAATCGATATTTTCTACCGATTAAAAAAACGAGTCACTGATTTTTCGATTTTAGGCCTTCATCCCTACACCAACTTCTTTTCATTGTCAAGCAAAATGGCGGATCAGGTACGTGCTGTATTTAAATGAAAATATGTCTTAAAATAATTAAAATTAACTAGCTTTTGCTTATAAAATGTAGATTAAAAGCATATATGTGTGGTGTAATAAAAGTGTTAAGTGTTCCTCGTGTGAAATCTGTAAAAAATGTGATCGAAAACAAATTTTGCGTCGGGCACGTGGAAATGTGTTTTATATTTAAATATAATACAAATCGTGTTTGAAAAGATAAATTTCAACAGTGAACCCTTTGTTAATGCTGTATAGATTTAGATTTTGAGCGTAGATTTCAAATTTCACTTCTAAACAGTGGCCGTCACAATGTTGTTAGGTTAGTTTTTGCTAAGTAAACTAAATAACCTGGTACAATTAGTTACAGAAAAGGTTTGATGAAAATGTGTTGAAAATACATAAAATTATTAATTTTCAGCTCACTCAATATCTCACACAAAAATAAAATAATTATAAAAATAAAAACTGCTAGGAACTTTTTTGCGGTCAAGCAAATCCCAATTTAACTTGTGAAGTTTATTCTATACCAATTTTTACATATTCTCCATCGTTTTGAAGTGGCCTAGCGACATTAAACTCAACAGTTTTTCAATAAATCACAGGCGGTGTGCCTTAACTTTTTGAATTAGAAACACCCTACCTACCGTTAAATTTACATTAAATTGAAATTTGTTGAGCCATGTGCCATTATAAAAAATACATTTTCTATTATGTCCTCTACATATTTCGGGATCGCTTTAGTTGAAACACAATATTAATGAATACATTAATGATAAAAACTGAAATATCTTTAATAATTGAAGACATAAGTGGATAAAAGGTTTAATTGCCTATAAACCATATTAGACCTTAAAGCTCCGGGTTGAAAGGCTATTTTTAGAAATTGTATGTGATGAAGCAGTCATATATGAAGAAAAATACAAGTAACAATAGTTTGTTGCCAGTTTTTTTTAAATTGACAAACTGTATCATATCCCCTTCATCCGCTCATGTCTTCAATTACAATACATGCATTGATTATGCTACTAATACATTTTGTTTCAGAATTTGAATAAATAATAGCTGCTGATGCCCTTTGTTTTCCATAAATGAGTCAAATTAAACTGACATTAAATAAATGTATTTAATTTCAGTGTGTAGTTTTGATAGTACAGTAGTAGTTACATGTAACACTAAACATGTTAAAACTTGCAGACGGAACGCTCATTCCAAAAACAACCTACAGTCTTTCTGAACCGCAAGAAAGGTATTGGTGTGAAGCGGAGCAGAAAACCGTTGAGATACCACAAGGATGTGGGCCTCGGTTTCAAGACTCCCCGTGAGGTAACGCATGCAGTGTGCCCACTAACGTGTGTTTTTATCTTTCCGTAGACAGAGAAAGCGTTTCAGAAACAGGCCACCGTTTTCCTGAACAGGAAAGGTGGCATGAAGAGGAAGGACATGCGTCACCATAAGAATGTTGGTTTAGGCTTCAAAACTCCCAGAGAGGTCTGTAGTTTTTGGTTTATTTCCAGTGGTGGTCTGGAGTTGGTCATCGGTGGCTTTTGGTGTCGGCTTCAAATATTCATCTGGGTTCATTTTTATGTGCATTTGTCTTGCTACAATGTCTAGTACAGTTATTGAGAAACAAAATGATCATAGTTTGCCAAATGTCTGTTTTCATTGATATTCGATGTGTCAGATACAGGAAATTGTAATTATTGTAGTAAACTTGACTACTAAAGTAGTGTAAATATTTTAGTGGTAAATATTGTTACTGACAAGTTTCTATAACTACAATATGTTCCCTCAAAATGTTTGTTGAATGTTCTTTTAATAAAACTCATAATTTTGTAATTAATAAAAAAGACATTCATACAACATTATGATGCATTTCATTACAATCATATTGTAAAATATAATCATGCAAATATGTCGCTTTTTAAGTTTCATTTTATTCATTTCTACTAATTAATGCTCACCTAACATTTCTAACTGCAATTGCATTTTCATAATCTAATCTAATAATAGAGGGGAGAAATAATGGGATACTAAACCAGTACAATAAAATATTTTTATAATTCAAATGAAAGAATTGCAACATTTTTTCTAATCATTAATTTCATTCAAATAATACTAACATACTAATGTAACTATAAAACTGATTTGTCAAAAACAATGTTGTGAAAATAGGCTCTGAGTAAATATTAGTTTTTTGAAAATCAACTCAATTCATGGGAAATTTTGTTGCTTTATCCAGAAGATCGATAGACACTGCAGTTAAATATGCTATTAATTAAAGCAATTCACTATTGAATAACTTGAGAGACTGAAAGTAATATAATTAACCCGTTGATTACTAAGAGTCCGTAGAGAAAAATAATAATTGAGTGACTGTATATGATGATAACCACACGACGGTCTTCTGAATGACCAATTGACGAAAAGCTGTGTTTCAAACTATCTGATGCAGTACACTCAAGAATGTAGAAAAATTCTCCCGAAATCATTAGAGATTATTACCCAAAAAATAGTTTCCTAGTGATTGGCTCGCAGTTTTTTCGTGGAATCCCAATGTCCAAGAGAAAATATCGTTGTTAGGCCTGTTTTAGGAGAGTGAAATGTAATCGGTTTTCTAAAACACATCTCTGTATCTAAGCTAAAGCTAAATCTTCATTCCATACCATTAATGCATAATTTTTTTTACACACCTATATCTTCTTTGATTTTTCTTTATACATATATTGTAAATCTAATATAATTAATGACTAGATCACAGTCGTCCTTTATTAGCTTAGGTTCGAATTGTTCAACATGGCAGTTTGCCCATACACTCTGGTGCTAGATCCAGGAAATTGTAAGCTTGAAGAATGATTGATCCTGTTATAATAATCAGCTGAGATTGGTAGGGAAACTAGTCAGTATACACAGATATTGATCCTAGATGCGTTTATTCATTGTAACATATTATATTATTATATTGCATATGTCTTCATGCATTGATATAATAAACCAAAGAAAGGTTCATACATCGTGAGGTGAAAGGCTATTTGGTTTAAGCGACATGTCCCTTAATACGCGACATTTCGTCTTTACGCATTAAAATTTTACAATTTCCAAAAATATTCGAAATTGAGTTAATATGCGCAATCATTTTTCTCAAAAATACTCACAAAAGAGCGTAGTTTAGTTTTAGTTTTTTTTTTAGTTTACCTATGTTTTGTCTACTATTAACAAAATTAATAAATCATTTTATCTTACTTTAAAAGACAGATAATGTAACTGGTAAACTGTAAAAAATAAACGTTGCAAAGATGATTAATATTAAAAATACATATCACATGTTAAATCTTAAAATTATTTAGCGCACATATCCCTGGTAATACACGGTGATTCAAAATTTAAGCTTGTGGTTCATTACTGTGGCCATTAAAGAATTGCAGAAAAAAATTACTTTCTGAAAGTATTTTTTATATGCTACTTTTCGTGCTGCAATAAAAGTGACAAACGCTGCGATCTTTTTTGGATTAAAAAAGGTATCGGCGAATTTCTGTAAAATTAGTAAGTTTTGAGATTATACAGTTTTAATGCAAGAGAAGACGATTTATCTTTGTAATTAAAGGTTCGTTTTATTTGGCATTAGCATCAAAAGTTCGATATTTCTAATTGAACTTAATTTAAGTTGACTCCATTCGATATATTTTTTCCAAAATTTGAGACTTTGAATGGCTCTCATTTAAAAATGTCGCTTATACCAAACCGATGCCTCCAATGAACACTACGCTAACTCCAAATTCGTAGGTTTACAGGAGGAGCGTTTAAACGAAAAAAGTTAATAAAATCTTTATTATTGCAGATATATTTATGCTTTTTTCTTGTGTAACCAGCTGATTTACTCTTGCTTCGAACCCCATCAATAATGATTTGTAATACTTTTAAAATAGTAAAGGGATTTGCGTGAAAAACGAAAATTTTGAGTTAGTGTTCATTGGAGGCATCGAAATTGCCCCCTCAATCCTCGACCTCATAATGACATGTACTTCGCTACTCATTCCAGGCGATTGAGGGTACCTACATTGACAAGAAGTGTCCCTTCACTGGTAATGTTTCGATCCGCGGCCGCATCCTCACCGGCGTCGTTCAGAAGATGAAGATGCAGAGAACTATCGTGATCCGCCGCGATTACCTTCACTACCTACCCAAATACAACAGGTTCGAGAAACGGCACAGGAATATGTCCGTACATTTGTCGCCTTGCTTCAGGTGAGACAAACTTTTGATGTCAAACATTTTTCACAATATGAACGTAGGATCAACTAATTCATAAAGCTTAATTTAGAATGTGGGGCCAATTTTATCCAAGAGACTATATTGGCATGTATTAAATATAAGTTTTAAATGAAACATGACAGTTAGATATTGTAAATATCATGGACCTAATGTAACGGACATAGTAACAATAAGATTCTAAGTGAAAGCATCTGTTCTGTGTAAAGTAAGCTTTAAAATATCAATTTTGCATATCAAGCTTACGTTATTAAAATTAATATTTAGCTAAAACTAATATGTAAAGTTTGTTGGTATGCAAAAAGATTAAACAAATTTTGTAGTACCACTTTGGCCCGTTTTCTTAGAAACTTACGAAAGGAGACGGAAAATCGTGGGCCAAAAATGTAATAACTTGGAATGTAGTCTAAAAAATTTGTCATATTTTTTTATATAAGAATATAAAAAATCACCTCAATCCTCTTTCTGGGACCGGAGAAAAATGAGAAAGTTAGTTTTTGTCGGTATAACGATGTGATCGATTTAATTAATCGATTATAGGATTAAAAAGAAAAACATTGCACTAGGTAATTAATGCAAAGTAATTAAATGAGCGATTTATACTTGTTGTATACAAGTGCGGTATGCGCCGGATTTAATTGCGATTATATACATAAATGAAGAAAAAGTCTATTATTACTTAGTAAAGTAATATGATTATCGATTTCAAATCGATTAAAATCGATTGTATTTTTGATGACAGCTTTGACAGTAAGCTGACATGACGTTTGTTCATAGATTATACAATTATTTTTTGGCGCTTGTTGGTTTTTTCTGCTCTACTCGTTTTGTATCTACGACGCATTTTGAGTGTGTATCTATCGGGCTGTTTTTATATTTTCAACGATCACTGCTTTATTATTACGGATTCCAACTCTGCCAGCCTTGTACGACAATTGCTTCTACACTGGACACCGAAGATCGCTCACACGTTTGACTTGAAATTGTTGAATTGGACATTGCTGTTGAAATTATGGATCGCTGCGTGAATTGTGGGATAGCAATTCCATATTCCATACCTGATATATATCATTGATATTCATTCATAATATGACATTTAAAAGATTATCCAATGGATATAATAAACATTTAGTTATGCTTAAATAAGTTATTATTCAGCTCTTTTTAAAGAGATTGTAACATAACCTAACTTTTACTAAATCTTTATTAACTCGGCTTTCAGATTGAGAAAACTTTTATAATTTTCAGTAAGGTACTGATAAATCTGAATCTATTAATTCATATTAGTTTCATCATGTTACATTCGGGCCCAAAAATGTATGTAATCGTGTCAGTCTCCTTTATAAAAAATCCACGAACATCGGATTGCCCTTTCTTGTTCATTCTTAGTAATGAACCATAATAAGTGCGCTTAAAATAGTCATGACTTTCCTCTGATCTGGAATGCGGTGATTTGCAGCATGAACGAAATCCACAAGTAAAACGTGGGGAGTGGTCTTTTTAAAATCGGAGTAGTTTCTACTTGCAAGAATAAATTATACGGCAAATATATTCATATGATGAAACTCACACGACGGTCTTCCGAAGACAATTTGACGAAAATCGTGTTTCAAACCCAAAAACTGATATCATTTTACAAAAGATCCTTTTGTGACGTATCGTTACACAACTAAAATGAAAGTTTTCTATATTTTTTTCAGGGACGTGGAGATTGGTGATATTGTAACGATCGGCGAATGCAGACCTTTGTCCAAAACAGTTAGATTCAATGTTTTGAAAGTTTCAAAGGGCAAGGGCTCGAAGAAGTCTTTCAAAAAATTTTAATAAACTTATGTCTTAAGTAAACGGCTTGTTTTAGTTTTCCCATTAAAATAAAGGTTGTAATAAAATCGACTCTGAAGAAGGAAAATACGTAGTTACTGCAGAAAAAAATATAATTTTACCGTAGGAATTATTATTTAAATGCGCTAGGTTTTTTTTATGATTGAAGGATTACTGGTGGACCGGGTTTCACTAGGATAGGAGGGTGAGCAAAGGCTCAGACAGGAGGGGTGGGATTTGCTAACAGCTTCCCAAGCGCCTCCGAAGGAGGCCTAACAACTTAAGAGCAACTGCTTCGCGAATGAACCTACTACCGGATCGGAATCGTGACCCGTTGAGAAGATCCGGCGAGAAACTCGGCGGGCTGATGCATGGATTATGGACCTCTTTGTCGAGTTCGACGAAGTACGGTTACCGGGGTCCCTAAGCCTGCTCCTAGTGTTAGAGCTGAATGCGTCTGCGCAAGGTCAACGATCCCTAGAAAACTGAGGCGGCCGCCATTTGCAATTGGCGTTCTATGTCTACAAATGTTTATGCTCAGCTTAATAAATGTACATAATTTGATATTGGCTAGTAATTTCTGTTTCGAAAACAGTTTAACCTTTTGTAGGCTACAATTTCTATTGGTTTAGTAAGTAAACGTGTTTATGTTCTTTCGGAAACGGCGACAATGCGAACCGCATCGCAGTCCGCGTCTGCCGACGGTGCTAGCGCGCTAGAGGCGTGGTAGCGTGCGGCGCAGCCTCATACCCCTCAGGTCGCCTGTGACCATCACCGGGAGGAGACTCTTGTCACAGAGGGAAGAAGAGCTCTTCCTTTCCCGTTCCGCCGCCTCCTGCGAGATGGTGGACTCGCAGGAGTCGAGTATCGCCTGTCAGGTCTCGTCGCTGCCGAGTATCGTAGCCACGACACTCGGAAGCGACAAGTCCGTTCTTATTTTTGCAATGAGGACGCGGCGCTGTTCCGCGAAAGCGTGGCAGTACGCGAGCGTGTGCTCCGCCGTGTCCTCGTTGCAGCTACTGCAGTGGCTGCACTTCGGCGTCGGCTCCCTCCGGGCGACGAGGTGCAGGTAGCGATCGAAACAGCCGTGTCCCGTGAGCACCTGCGTCGCTCGGAAGGTGAGATGTCCTCGGTCGCGATTCACCCAGTCCGAGGGAACCGGGTGGATCGCCTCGACAGTCCGTCGCCCGTAGGCAACTCCTATATGTCACTTTTGTAGAGTCACCTCGTTGGGAAGAACCGATTTACTTCGCCTAATTATATTATTACGGACGTCGAATGAACGTCTAAAGGAACTAAAGAAATATATTTTAAGGATTTGAAAAATGCTATTTGGACCAAAATTTGTTTAATTAAATCTACTTTTACTGTTTAATCTCGTCTTTTCTATTGTCCTTATATTGTTTCCGCGGTACAGTTTTCTTTGTCACGCGAACGACCGGCCTGAGAATAATTTTAGTTCACATTTAACACTCCTGAAACCCGAACAAAAAACCAGAATCGTTTAAAGTATAGAAAATAAATAAATAAAAAGATTGCCGTTAGGTATCTGTTACATTCAGAGTGACCGGCTCCATCTAGGCGTGCTTCGGATAGCCTGCGGACCACAGAAATAAATCTTGATATTATTTCTGCGGACCGAGAGGGCTGGTGGTCGTGGCTCTGACGACCGCTGGTCCGGCGTCCCGAGGGGGAGGGTGATGGGAGAGATGTGCTCCGCACTAAACGCTTCACTTTCCCCCTTTGCCTTTTCATGAGTTCTGTCTCATGCGAGGCTTGGACGTTGGTTGTTGAGCGACAGGAGGTTTTAGTCTGACAAAAAAAAAAGGTATCTGTTACGAAATTACGAACAGTACACCTACAAGTTCATCTAAAACGCCGTCATAGACGGCCCATATGACATGCGTCAAATGTGCTCCTGCAATGGAATTTAAAAATACGAAAATGCATTTTAGCTACTTGCTTAGGTCGGTACGCGTGCTAATCCCATTGCATAAGTGCCTATATTTACACTACGTTGATGTTTTTTATTGGTTTAAATAATATGATAAGATTAACACTAATGAACGGGGGATAAGATAAATTTATCTAACTTCAGCATTTTTTTAATTATTTACTCTGTTATCCGGTTAGGTTTACGTAAAAATGAGCAAAAAAACTAAAAATAAAAGTGTTAATGTTAACAATTTAGATAAAAATGAAAAATCTAAAACAACTAAAGATTCTTCGAAATTCAAGATCGTATTCGGGGTAAGTTCTAAATTTTATTAATATGGTTTGAATGAGAGATGTGCTTCTTCCTAAAAATTGGGAAAAGGCTTGATTTATGTATTAAACAGATTACAAAATGGTACTGCACTCCTTACTTAGCTAGCTGGGTATGTAGACGACGCTATGGATACCCACCTGTGTAGGTTTGGAATATGTGCACACATATGTATAAACTAGACAATTAATAATTGTATTTTTTAAATCCAATGCTAACAGATTGCAGTTAAAAAACTCGATTTTTTTTCTTATTGTTTACATGTGTGGACGATCTCACAGCCCACCTGGTGTTAAGTGTTTACCGGAGCCCATAGACATCTATAGCGTAAATGCGCCACCCACCTTGAGATATAAGCTCTAAGGTCTCAGTATAGTTACACCGGCTACCCAACCCTTCAAACCGAAACACATTACTGCTTCACGGCAGAAATAGGCAAGGCGGTGGTACCTACCCGTGCGGACTCACAAGAGGTTCTACCACCAGTAATGTTAAATGGCTAACGTACTGCCTAAATAAACGCGTTGATCTCTAAACAAACTAGTTTCGTGTCCACAACTTCTTGAATAGAACTCAAAATATCCCGAGCGCTTGAATCAAACCGTTCATTTGATTACAAAGTTTAATTTAATTAAACTACTTTATAATACGCTTTTGTTAGCTTCAGACGTATGTATGTTAGTATGTAACGGAATCTTTGAACATGATTTTGACCCCCTTCAAAACGTTAGATTAACTCAAAATTTGGTATACTTATTAAGGATCGACGACAGTTAAATAAAAAAAAAAAATTCAATTTAAGGAAAACATTGAATTTCAACTAAAAAATGAAAAATAAATAATAGTATAAAAAAACTAACAAAATACGCTTTTATAGAAAATCCAACTAAAAAATAGAAAAAAAATAAAAAATAAAAAAATGTCGGGTGCATGGTATCAGTAGTTATAAATATTTAATGAACAGATATGAGTAGAAGGGTTATTTCGATAATATCCTGAAAAGCACCCCACGGTTTTTTTACAATAAAATCAATTTACCGTTTAATCTCTGACTGACTCGGTGGTGGTGTAGATAGCGCTCGTGACTGTTGCGCAAAGGCTCGTGGGTTCGATTCCCACGTCGGGCAAAAATTGTGTGATGAACAGATCTGTTTGCTCTATTTCTGGGTATTTGAACATATATAAGTAAGTTTGTCCCCTCTGGTACCCATAAAACAGGGAACATTCTAATTCTAAACTGGAACCGGATGACCGTGCGTTATCTATTCCCGGTTATTATTATTATTATCACGACTCTGTAACTGTTAATCATACTGTAAAACTGTAAAATATTCGAAACATCGGATATAATATAATAAATAAATTGAATGTAATGTGTAATATAAACTATACTGAGACCTTAGAACTTATATCTCAAGGTGGGTGGCGTATGTAGATATCTATGGGCTCTAGTAACCACTTAACACCAGGTGGCTGTGAGCTTGTCCACCCATTTAAGCAATAATAAAATAATAATTCCCTACATTTAATAAAGGAATAATTACAGTTCAAAAGGCAGGACTAAACCGTAAAAGTAGTTTTAAATAAGTCTACATAGTGGCAGATTTACCGTAAGGCCCGGTAGACACGGGCCTAGGGATAGATATAGGGTCTATAGGGCATAGATATAATGGCGGGCGGACTGCAGTGCATGGTGCAATCTATACCGCATAAAACAATTTTTTTTTCCTAAATTTCTAAATCTATATTTTTTTATAGCCCTTGTAGGCAGATGAGCATACGGCCCACCTGATGGTGAGTGGTTACCGTCGCCCATGGACTTCAGCAATGCCAGGGGCAGAGCCAAACCGCTATTTAGATAAAAGTTGGCAATTTTCATTATGTAGTCTATATGGTGGATGCTGAGAAAGGGGCGGCTGATGGCTTGGGGCCTAGGGCGGCCGAGACTGCAAATCCGCCACGCCTCCCGGAAACTAAAGAATATAGAATATTATAATTTTTTTTAATTTTTTTAGGTATTTTCAAAAATAATCTCTTATTTATTTGTGGTTAAAGCATTATTTACGATTTACGGTATTTATTTGGTGTACGTGTCGCTGACGAACGTTCCTGATCTGCCCAAAGTCGACGTCAATGTACGATGGGGCGTCGATAATAACACGCACGACACCAGAATAAGGCCCTACAGGGTGATATTTAGTGACGCGGTAAGTGTTATCATAAAATATCTAGAAGTTTTAATTCTAGTTTTTTTTTATTGCTTAGATGGGTGGACGAGCTCACAGCCCACCTGGTGTTAAGTGGTTACCGGAGCCCACAGATATATACAATGTAAATGCGCCACCCACCTTGAGATATAAGTTCTAAGGTCTCAACTACAGTTACAACGGCTGCCCCATCCTTCAAACCGAAACGCATTACTGCTTCACGGCAGAAATAGGCGGGGTGGTGGTATCTACCCATGCGGACTCACAAGAAGTCCTACCATCAATAATTAAACTTAATTCTAAGTTTTAATTTAGGCAGCGGCTTAGCTCTGCCCCTGACATTGCTGACGTCCTTGAGCGATGCTAACTACTCACCATCAGGCGGGCCGTATGCTCGTCTGCATACTAGAGCACATGTTTTTTTTATTGATATAATGTATAACTAATGCATAATTTTAAAAAAATATTAGCATTCTGCACTCATTCTCTATCTATGCATATAAATAAAATTGGAGTGTCTGTTTGTAATATTGAAATAACCGCTTTTTACTACATGAATATGAATATATATACGGTACATACACCAAAATAACATTTTTTACAATTTTTGTCTGTCTGTCTGTTTGTTTGTTCCGGCTAATCTCTGGAACGGCATACCGATTTTGACAGGACTTTCACTGACAGGTAACTGATGATATAAGGAGTAACTTAGGCTACTTTTTTTTAGACTAGCTTCGCCCCGCGGCGTCATTCACACAATAACAGTGGGTAACATGGCGGGACTCAACTATCAATAATAAAATTTAATGTTTCCGAAGCGAAGCGAGGGCGGGTCGCTAGTCTATTATAAACATGATTACAGATGGAATCTGAAATCAGGGCGCTTTTTGAAGACTACCGTCTCATGGAGAGGAAGATAAAGAGCTTCAAAAACACGGCTTGGACATACGGCGTTCATTCAGATGCGTTCGCACAGTTTTTCTCACATTGGATATTCAAATACAAGTTCAGGGAACGTGTGAAGTTTTTAAATAAATACGATCATTTCTTGACTAATATTCAGGGTTTGGATATACATTTTGTTCATGTTAAGCCGAAAGCTGATAAAGATGTGAAGGTAAGATGTGTTGGGTGCAGGATTTTGGGGTTCGTAAGTTCTCAAAACTAAATTTCTACCTTATTTGGCGGTACCGTTAAAAGTATTTGCTAGACTTTTTTTCCCCGCGCTGACTCACAAGAGGTCCTACCTCCAGTAAAAAACATAAACATAGACTAACATAAGACTAAGCATAAACACTTGCTTTAGTGATTTTAAATTTAGTGAACTAGTAATACAAAGAAACATTGACCCCGCCTCTTAGTTTGTGTTACATTGCGTGTTTAGTGAAAGCAAAAAAAATCGTTATTTTTTTTGTCGTGGATATGAATCACGATACTTTAAATCCTAATCTTTCATAAAATAAATAAATATTTACTAACAATCACGCCACCTTAACTGGTCCCGTGATAAGTTCGTAAAGAACTTGTGTTACAGGTACCAGATAACGGAAATAAATGTAAGATTTTTATTATACACATACATATATTTCATATACATCCATAACCCTGGAAAAGAAATTTATATTTATCATACAAATATCTTCCCTTGGCGGGATTCGAACCCGCGACCCCCTTGTGTAGTGACCATGTCACTTACCACTACACCAAACGGCCGGTAAAAGTTTTCATTTAAAAATAACAAAGCTGAAAACCGATTCAGGATTTGTTGTAAATATATCGCTTGTGTTAAACAAGCAGTTTAAAAAAAAAAAAACTAAATATAATATTGAGGCGAATCCTTTTAGCATGAAAAAATTTCAGGTGGTACCCCTTTTACTTCTGCACGGCTGGCCGGGTTCTGTTAGAGAGTTTTACGAAGCAATTCCACTTCTAACTACTCCGAGACCAGATTACGATTTTGTTTTCGAAGTAATAGCTCCAAGCTTACCGGGCTTCGTGTTTTCTGAGGTGAGTGACCCAGTTCGAAAGGTTTTTTAAAACTACTCTCCTATTTATATGTATATGCGCGCACACGCCCACATATTCACACAAACAAACACACACAAACACACACACACGCGCATAATGACCTTATAATGATAACACTTAATGATCTCTCAACACTAGTCCGCAGCATCTGTTCACGACTTAACCTAACCTAATCTATCTTAAGAAGGAGGGAGCCTGGAGATCAATAATACAGGTCTTTGAACCTAGTACAGACTTCGGCTCTTTCAAAGGCTTACAAAATGAATTATAAGGTTAATTTTCATTTTTATTTGTACTATACCTTTAAGAGAGAAATTAATAAATTATTATTATTAAATTATTATTTAACAAAAAATGTTTCCGTATCATTTTAATTCAGTGTGCGTTTAAGCAAATCGTATCAAAACTTAGCCAACGGTCTTGTGTGTTGTGAAACCTTCTTGAACGATCGATTTGGAATTAGCAATGTTTCTAGAATATGATCAAGAGCTTTTGTGTATTCATCTTTTAAGAGCTCGGGAGTTGCTAATCCGAATGTAGTACCTATTAAATTTAGTATAACTTCAGATCGTTTTCCATATATCATCAGTGATGGATTTAGGGTTGATGCCACCTTAGGGCCTGTTTATCGCGCCGCTTTTAATGTTATAATAAATTTTAATAATTTTAATCCTATATAATTTATATTAAGTATTTATTTGAAATTTAAAATAACTTTATTTTTTTTTATATAAATTAAACTGAACTCATTTTCTGTCTTTACTTTTTTTATCTTATTCAACGTGGGGGGTGTGTAACTTAAAAAATGACCATTATAATGAGTGATAGTCACAGCGATGTGTGTTGGTGATGAGAGTAAATAACAAAACTGTCCTGAAAACATACAGATCTTTCCGGTAAATATATAATTGAAATCGATGCGAAACACTTGAAATTTCTACATTTTTTTTAAATCGCCTTCTAGAATGGTCGAGCTCACGACTCATCTAATATTAAGTGGTTTCCGGAGTCCATACACAACAAAACGTGGATGCCACCATCCTTGATAAGTGAGGTCTAATTCTCAATTGTATACAACGAGAGTCGTACCATTGAAACAGAAACGCATAGCTGCTTCGTGGCAAACATAATCAGGTTGGTGGTACTGGTATAGGTTTTCAATAAGCCCTGCCGCAATTAGGGAGTTACAGGGAAATAGTGGCTGAAATAATTCCAGGCTATGAATATCATCTTTGGACCAAATCATTAAGTTTCATAACATACATCATCAACCTATTGACGACAGTGAACATCAAACAGCGATATAGGTAGTCATTTTGAATTATTTCTTTTGATGGTATATAATGTTTAAGGCGCCAACACGACCCGGATTAGACACGTACGAAATGGCCATAATAATGCGAAACTTGATGCGTAGACTCGGCTACACCCAATACTACATTCAAGGCGGCGATTTCGGGCACATGATCGGATCCCATATCGCCACGATCTTCCCCTCAGAAGTACTTGGCTTCCACACGAATTTCCCAGCTAACACATCCAAATTGTCTTTATTGACTTGGCTCCTGGGCGGATTGTTGTGGCCTTCGTATTTCGGTAACGGCATTGAGGACAGAATGTATCCTCTGAAAGACAAATTGGAGTTTTATTTGGAGGAGACCGGGTATTCGCATCTGCAATCAACGAAACCAGATACAATTGGTGAGTTGGTATCACCAAATTTTTGTTTATCGCAATTGGGAACTCCGGGACTGCCCTATTTAAGCTCTAAGTACCACTACTTTGAGACTTGCAGTCGAATATTCAAGTGAAACCGGTTGCATTGTCGCGGAGATAAATACATCCTGCATAGGTCAACCTTCTTGTGAGGCGTTTGCATTCTTGGTAGAGTGGTCGTGGTCATCATTTCGGGTGGGCCTTTCACAAGACGTTGCCATTATTCGCGATAGATCAACCTATACGGGCTTAAATCAGAAGCAATTGTAACTTCTATCTTGCTTAAAGTGCACAATTGGATTCACATTGTAGCGTATATAGACTCCACTGATCGTTCACAATAAGCTAAGCCGTTTGTTTGTCTGCTCGTATTGACTGTAATAATAAATAATGTAAGTATTTAATTACGTCTTCAGGTATTGTCCTAACTGATTCACCGGTAGCCTTAGGATCATATATCTTGGATAGGTTCATGATCTTCACGAACCATACCAATAAGTTTGAAGATGAAGGCGGCATTGACAAGTATTACGATTTTGACAAGTTACTGGACAACATAATGTTATATTGGGTCTCCGGGAGTATAACCACGTCACTGAGGATTTACAAGGAGACCTTCGCAGGTTCGAGGTTGAATAATCTGGCTCAGTAAGTATCGAGTTAAAAAAGTAACAGGTATTTATAAATATCATATTTATACACCACGTATCAATCAGCTTGGGTGCTACGATATGGTCTCCGTTAGCGGTAAGCAGCGGTTTAGCTCTGTTACTGGCATAGCGACGGTGACCAATTTTAAGTACGCTCATCTGCTTCGTAATAAAATAAAGTTAACTAAAACGAAGACTAGTCTGATACTCCTAACATCGGTTCTTAAAATATCAAACGAAAAATAAATATCGCACGCAATGTAACACACATAAATTTGAAATGATGCGCCGAGTCAATGACCCCACGGTTCTATATAAGGCGAAGTTGTCACTGATTTTGATTACGAAAATACCGAATTGTCTTTCGAGGCGGGATGTTGGATATGGAGAATCTCAGTAGTCACGTCCTGTTAGTCATTAGATTGCAAAATTTACTGTTGAATTAAATGGAATCAAAATTTGTTGTAAAGTTAGGCTCTAATGGCGGTGACGTTATGAGCTATATTACTTTGTACACTTTTTTTGTTAACTACACCCGTGAAATTTATAAATAAACATGTTTTTTGTCCATTTCTGAATAGATTTATGAACAGTTTCTATAAAAAATGTTGATTGTAAGTACCAATCTCCTGAATGACTGGTAAGAGCGCCTTAATCTGCTGATTCATATAAAGCAGATTGTATTCTTACCTTCGAATTCTCACTTCAGACATGAATTTCCTGTATATGGTGTTTCTAGAGTTCCAACTTCAGTTCCAACATGGGCGCTTCGTTTGAAATACGAGCTTTTCCAACACCCAGACTATATGCTTCGTTGGAAGTACACTAACCTCTTGGGCTCTACCAACTTGGACTACGGAGGTCACTTTGCCGCTTTCGAACGACCGAAGGACTTCAGCGATGACGTGTTTAAAGCTGTAAAAGCTTTTAGAAATTTTAAGTGATCGGTAAATAAATTATTAATTTGGTATGCGTTTTTCATTGTAATCTTTTTTTTCTTACCCGCTTTTCTACTCGTATGTTTTAGTATTGATTAACCCATATATATATTTTTTATAAGGGATTTTATGACCTGGTAGCTAAGACCTTTAAGTCATGTCTTATTTTAACTTATATTCATATTTTTATGAAAAATGATATTATGGAGTGAAATGGAATGAAGATTATTAATTTGAGATATTAATCGACTGGGATGAAATTAAATGAAATCAGATGAGATGATATGGGATGAAATTTAATCTCAGTAAAATGGTGGTCATTTACTAAGATTTTTTCAGTGGACTTTTTGGATGATCCCGAAAATTTACGTCCAGCGGCTTTGTTTTATTTTCCCACATTTGTGCACACAGATATCAAACAGTTAATGAACCACCATTATTACACATTTAAACCTGAAGAAACACTAAATAGACAAAATAAAACAAATCACACAACTCCACTCCTCGCCTTCCCGCCAAAAAGTCCATTGATTGACCCATTTAATATACCGATACAGATAATAAGAGGAAGTATCAGGAAAGTGGTAATCTCTAATGAATGTATCTATATTATGTCAAATTATTTATTTTTGTTATTCGGTCACACAGAACTGACTAAGCAGATTTGGATGCAATTACGCTTAGTGGTAATTCAGAATTTGGATTATTAGAACACAAATAGAAATCCCTTTATAATGACAAGAGCCTAGTAACACCCAATATGTATCTGCTATAATAATATACTTGTTCCAATAGCGTTCCTGATATTACGTACCAACGGATCTTTGAATGTACTAGTAATTCATGGGTCGAGAGAGACACGAGAACTATTATTCAAATTAAATCAACGTCTTTCCTTTATTCTGAATTACAATTCGATGTGGCTACGTATTGGATTAAGTGACTTTATCCCGCTGATGTGAAATTGATTCATTTCAATACAAGATATTAGATACTGTCCAGTAGGTACACGGAGTATTCTGTGTTTGATAGAATTTAAATAGTCTATATTTTGTCATAAAGTAATCTGTCGATTGATAATTAGCTTACAAACTGCGTATGGAAACTATGAATTAGATATTTTGTAAGCGCAATGGTCTAATTTGGAAAGTAGAAGCGTAGTTCTTTGATACCAATGTGATGTCTATAAGTTGTTGTTGTAAATGTTCCAATGTGTTTTAAGTCTTTCATGTTCGTGTTTGAAGCTGAACACACACAAAAAACAAACACGTTGTGGCGACTCACTTACCCGCCACTATTTGGGCAACCGCCTTATAATTCGACAAAATCGCTGTCGCTTATAAATTTAGGCAATCATCCATTATTGTTGTTCAACATTTCGGCAATCTCGAAAAACTGAAGGCAGCACATATTGATATTCGCTGTGTTACCCATCGTTCGTGTCAGTGCCTTTACTACCCCTACATGTTCGTTCTTTTTCATACCATTTGTGTTATAGTTTGATTGGGTATATTTTTATCTTCAATAAACTATTCAAAGCAGTACATATTCATACTCACTGCGTAAACCATCCATCATGTCAGCGCCTTCCCAATACAGTTAGAAGCAGCACTACTACAACCGCATCTACAACGTTAATATGGTTTTAATTATGTCTTCGATTCGCTAAGACCCTAAGAATTTCCTACGAATACAGACACAAGAGAACAACTTACAAAACATTCGATTATCGGAGGAGACTGGAGATAATTCAATCTGTCGGCGTTGACTCGATTGCAGAATACCCGATCGACTTAACTTTGTAACCGTTTTTATTCGATTTTGCTTTCGTCGAGTTCTGCGTTCTGTTTAAATATAATCGTTTTAAATCTCTGCGCGTAATTATCCTTGCAAACAACATATAATTCTGGTTTACACAACACAGTAGGCATTAACAGTGTTAATTGAGGAATGTCTATTTAAACTAGAGGTCCCGCAGTAGTCGAAGTTCGACTATAATTAATTGGAATTGTAAGTTTGTACTCTATTATGATTGTATTTTATACTTCTATAATCACAAATTTCGCCAAGACTACAGTATAAAAAATATTAACAAAGGCAAACAATATTTAATCTCAATTTGACAACAGACGTCAAGAACAAAAGTTTGACAATAAATAGTATGCATGCGTGTGTGCGTCAAATACATGGTATGTAGTGTGTGTAATGTTTTCTTTATTGATTTAATGTATCTTTTATGCATTATTTTTAAAAAATATTAGCATTGTGCACTTCTCTATATTCTTTATAAATGTGAAAAATTTCATACTCCTCCGTCCGCGCTATTTTCGTAAAAAGGGATACAAAGTTTTTGCTTCACGATAATAAATTACTAGATGATGACCGAGCTTTGCTCGTTTTTTTTTTTTTTTTGATAACGCCATCTTGTTATGTCTTGAAAGTTGTTAGTTGCCCTCAATTAGAAAAATAGTATTATTATTCGCCAATAGATGTCGGGAAGAGTTGATTATTGAAAACACGAATAAAACAACATTTTCTGAAAATAAATCGTAGCTAGATCGATTTATCGCCCCCGAAATCCCCTGTATACTAAATTTTATGAAAATCGTTGGAGCCGTTTTCGAGATTCAGATTATATGCAAGAATTGCTCGTTTAAAGGTATAAGATAGTTTAAAAAACTAACAAAATACGCTTTTATAGAAAATGTAACTAATAAATAGGAAATAAATTTGAATTAAAATAGTGTAAGAAAAAATGATTTGAATGTAAAAAAGCGTGGGGTGCTTTTCAGGATATTAAAAAAAATAACCTTTCTACTCATATCTGTTCATAAAATATTTATAACTACCGATACTATGCACAGCCTGCACACACCTGATGGTGGGCCGTATGCACGTCTGCTTACAAGGGAAAAAAAAATATTAAAATAAATTTTCAATTTTTTAGTTCGATTTTCTAAAAAAGCGTATTTTTTTTGTTTTTTAAAACTATTATTATTTATTTTTAATTTTTTTGTTGAATTTCAATTTTGTTTTCATTTTTTTTTAAATATTGAATTGTCATCGATTCTTAATAAGTATCCCAAATTTCGAGTTAATCCGACGTTTTGAAGGGGGTCAAAATTATGTTCAAAGATTCCGTTACATACTAATATACATACGTTTGAAGCTAATAAAAGCGTATTAAAAACACTGGCGTCTTATCATCTGCCTCTAAAATAGATTATTATGACTTGTGTTACTTGAGTGCCGTAACATGCGCCACTGGTAAGCACCGGCTGTGTCATTATCATTAAAATGAATGATAGACGGTCACCATTTAAGCCGGTCTTCGATATCCTTAAGAAATGTGAAATTTGCACGAAATTTTCGTTGGGTATTTCCGCCACTACAAAATAAGTAAACTTTAAAATTAAAAGAAATACTATTCTGTAAATTTTCGTCGCCTCCATTGAAAACGGGTGACACTGCTGAAGAAATCATGTCGCTCATAAAAGCTCAGTTTGTTCAACTATGATTAGGAGCACGTGTTCAGTTCGTCAACTGAGCTTAGTTCTTTGGATTCACAAATCTTTTTGCGAAGTATTTACACGGAATTTGTAGAGATCCGAACATTCATTAAAACTCATTTAGAGCTGAAACTTATTTGTTTAATCTATATATTAATACGTGAAGCAAAAACTTTGTATTCCTTTTTACGAAAATTGCGCGGACGGAGGAGTATGAAATTTTCCACACTTTCAGAGAATATAGAGAAGAAGTGCTTAATGCTAATATTTTTTTTAAATAATGCATATAAAATACATTAAAGCAATAAAGAAAACATTACACACACTACATACCATGTATTTGACGCACACACGCATGCATACTATTTATTGTCAAACTTTTGTTCTTGACGTCTGTTGTCAAATTGAGAATAGATTAAATATTGTTTGTCTTTGTTAATATTTTTTATAGTGTAGTCTTGGCAAAATTTGTGACTATAGAAGTATAAAATACAATCATAATAGTATACAAACTTACAATTCCAATTAATTATAGTCGAATTTCGACTACTGCGGGACCTCTAGTTTACAATAATACCCTAAGTTGGATATTGGATAGATGGAAAATGTCTAATGAAGATCTTAACTGATATTTTCTTGTCTAAAATAACATAATTGTTTCCTTGAAAAAAAGAAGCCTAACATTTTTTAACTCATATTATTTATAGAAGATTTATAGAGAAGAAGGGTATAGAGGAAGAGGTAGACCTAAGAAGAAATGGATGGATTGCGTGAGAGACGATATGGGTAAGAGGGGAGTGAGCAAAGAAATGGTACATGATAGAAGAGTATGGAAGGAGAAAACATGTTGCGCCGACCCCATGTAACTGGGAGAAGGGCAGGATAATGATGATGATTATTTATAAGAGATATTTGGTAGCCATTCATGTTGCATGTGTGGAATATCGAATACATTTAAGAATTGAGAATCTTCATTTATTTGCATATATGGGCAAAAGTGCAAAATAAGTTTTCACCAGTAACCAATAACACAACTTTGGACGCTATCAATATCGAAGAAATAATTTGATGCCTCTAAAATAATTCTGTATAATAAAGTTCTGAGAATTAATGGAAGCTTTTGGTATTATAATTTAGTAGAATTCTGAAGTTGCTCTTTCCACGAAATACAAAGAATTAACTTGTAGCCTAACTGGTAAATTGCCCTGTTTATTTGATATATTGATGTACTTTGAAACAATTTCGATCCTTATGAAAATATGTTTCTGAATAATCACCGTATTTTTTGAACGAAGTTCCTCATGGGACGATGCGGAGGGGTACCTTAACCGGGAAAAAACGTCCGTAACGTAAGATTTTTATTATTTATGTATAGTCTTAGTATGATGGCTATACAGTGTCTAATATATAGTCTACGTGATGACGGTTATTATTATTATTCATATAAATAGCTGTTTCTTTGTATGTTATACAGTGTTATATAGTGAATAAAATAAA